CTGGTAGGTAGTATACTTCCTTAGAAACTTCCATGTATCTATTATACATTGCGTGCTGTGCCTTACCATGAGATGATGAGACGCTCCACAGGTGATGTTAATGCCAGTTAGGTGGTAGGTATCAATGTGATTCTTAGTTCTGGAAGTGGCAAGATGGCCTAAAGATACTCTCAAGAAACAAAACAATCACCGATCTGGATATCTGGCATTTATTTCACCCCTAGAGGTACGGTTTACGACAGAAGTGGAATGGCCCGGGACGGAAGAAGGGGAGCTTGGATGGAAGCCAGGGCAGTGGTGACGACACAACTGAAAGACCAACAACGCGGGAAAACGAGAAAAATAGTCCAGAACAATCAAAGAGCCAATGCCAACAGGTGATTGTAAGTTGTCCAATCGTCCTCCAACCATCCAATCAAAATCTAGGTAGTCCAACAGGGCCATTATCCCGTTTTGAGCGCTTTGATCACCAATGGGTCACGTTCGCCCAGATCGGGTCGGCATGAGGTTGTTGGTCGCGCCGGTCCTGGCTTAGAAGACACAAGACTATTAGACTAGAGGTGGAAATAACGGTGTATGGAGGTGCGGCACCTGCACGTTTCCATAGGAGGAAACCTCGAGTCTTGTATCACCCGCGGGCGCCGGAATTCCTCTTACCTGCCTAACCCCTCCACCGGCATGTGAAATCCCAGCTGTATAGTAGTGTAAGGCTGTAAGCTCGCAAGTACCCTTACGTATCTTCTCAATGCTGACAACAGCCTGAGGCCAAGCCGACTGGAACGAGGACTTAAGGTAGCAGAAGTGAAACCAACGAAACAGCCTCATAAACCTATACATAAGGTATGCACCGGTGACTGCACCTGGCCTGAATTGGTAAGATCAGAAAGTGTTGACGAACGGCACGTCTACCTACGGTAACCAAGTGGAAGAGCTTGCAACGTTCAACGGGAGAACAAGCGGGACAATCCTTAGTGTCTTATAAGATAGCTACTACTACTATACTCCATGTTAGTTGGGCCTTGACCTATTTACGAGCAAATACTTTACTATACAAGGACTAACAGTTGTCATGCATGTGTCAAGCATAACACCTGAAACATACATATGCAGCCTGAGGTGGCAGAGAATGAGGTACTCCAGTAGGTACCCTTACCCAACATGAGAAAATAAGGTGTTCATTGAGGTACAACCAAGTGCTGGTTCTTCAGTAGCTTGTTTACCACTGGCATCCACCTTTATAAAAAGGCGTACTTGGGTGCCGGACTGGAGTCAAACTTTACTGGGTACCCGTATACTAAAATAACCATTTGCAGCTGTACCGTGGACGGCTGTCATGTCAGGTCTGGCCAGGCATTCCAGGTTGTTTTTCCCGGGGAATTCACCATGAGGTGACCAGGGAAGGAATTCAAGATTGGACTTGGCATGCTTCCGCAACTGGAAGTTACCTACGAAGTATTTTGTCCCATGGTTGCCCATTCAAGGGGAACGAACATGTTGTGGAGGCGGGGCGCTGGCCGAGTGTGCCTGGGGAAAGACGGAAGGGCGCCAGAGAGCTCCCAAGTTTGGGTGAAGTGGGAACCGCCTGCCCGCCGTGAATGTGACATGGTCTGGCCGCTCACCGGAGGCTAACCTGGAATCTGCTCCAGCGTTCACTGTTGAGCACTGACATTGGGGTTTTGAGAATGTCACGCGACTGAGCCGTTGAAACTGAAGGCTGGGAATATGTATAGTACTATTAGTGCTGGTATGAAGTAGAATGTGGGTAACCGACAGAAGGGGGATAAGCTTCACAGTCTTCAAAGAGCGCAACCTCATGTTACGGGATAGTTTGTACCTGCTAAACTGTCTAGAAGTACGCCTGAATGGATATCATGTATTGTATATCCCAAGTTAAGGTAGATGAGGATCAGGAACTTGAAATGTGTACCTACCGACATGGAGTAGGTACCGCAGGTTCTGATGACTGAGGTGAAGTCAGAGCAGCAACTTGAAAACAGTGCCAAAACACGAACCTGAAACGCTAAACTCTTCAAACATCTGCAGCTTAAGAAGAGACTCACATCCAGGGGCGGAACCTTATAAGTGCTGCTCTGACCTGGTTAGCCCCAGACAACTTCAATGTTGTGTCCATCTGGAAGGCGACCGCACCCGCTTATCTCCGCCAACACCATGATAGAGCCGACGAAAAGAGAAGCCACCTAAACGGATGGCAAAGCGGCGGTGGAATGAGTGAGATATAAGATGCCGACTATGTTCGCAACCTCCAACTTCCCAAGAGAGAAGCTTTCAGTTGGTGCATCAAAGGGAGCAGAGATGCTCCCGTTATCGACAACATCATGTATAGTATTCCCCCCTTTAGTAAGAGGAAGAAAAAAGAGGCTAATCCACGCCCTCTTCTTGCCAATGGGATAGATAGGTAGGTACGTATTGTACCTTAGCAGTCAAACTTGAAGCTCAGCGTACGCAAAACCGACGAAGGGGGGGGGTGGGGGGGGGGGGGGGGGGGCGCTTTTCGGCTCAAGATTGCCCCGTCAAGGCTGAAATGGATTTGACGGATGCTCTGAGGCTCTGAGGCGGCCGGGTGGGACTGAACCGAACGGACCTTCCTACTTGAGCCCCTATACCAAGAACTCGGCAGCCTTCTTCGAACGTCCGGTCCCGAGCCGGCTAAGCGATGAAGCGCCGAAGCTGACCCTGTGCTGACGTGAACGGGGTGTGCAGTCTGCACGGAAACCGCAAATTGCTCCGCGGTGGGGACGAGGGGGGTCCGGAATGAGGACAAGTTTACGATCAGGAGTTTCCCGACCTCCTGAAGGCCGCTGTCGACCCAATGTAGGACAAGGTGCAACCAAGGATGCCGGAGGACCCTACTTCTTCTTGGGGACGGAAATCCGAAGGGCCGCAAGGTCGGGTCAGATGAATTTTGGTCGGCCGAAAAAAAAGGAGGGTCGGATTTTCTTCCCTGTGAACGGCGGATGTGGCCCTGCTCTACGTCCTGCTGCAATCCCTTATCCGGGCTTCAGAAGAGCCTCCAATATATGATATATTGGATTTCATCTAGGGCCGCGATATTTTTGGCTCGTTGGACAAGGGGCTGACTATGGTAGACCGCGTGCGCCAGGGGAACTTCCCGCAGGCCGCGACTGGAAATGGCACCCGCCATCAGCGCATCCCGCAAGTCGAAGACCAGTACGGACACCGTCGTGTGCGCCCAGGCGTCACCCGTAATTTGGACGACGGCCATAGGAGGACCCTGCCAGACAAAGTGCTCTTAAGCGAGGATTTACCCTGAATGCGACCCAAGCAATGCCGGTTGACGGGCCCTTTAAGTCTTGCGACTGCGGCGCACCGCTGTCAGGTGCAGTTAAGCCTGGCCGTTGGTTTGAAGGGCTGTGAGAGTCGGCTAAGTTCAGAGCGAAGATGAGATAAAATACCGTTCAGCATCGTGACGCGTGACGCGGCAGTACGATGTGGCCCGTGATGCCTGACCCGTGGCAATAGGTGTCCGTCCCATGCGGAGCGGGCTCGGGCCTGTGGGAGGTAAACTACCTTACGTGGGTACAAGAGTAGGTAAACGCGATGACCAGCCCCTGGGCATGATGCCAAAGCTTAGATTCGAATCCAGATCTTGAGGAGAGCGTAAGCTGCATTTGCAGCGTCTGTTCCGAGGTCTGGCAAATCGCCAACGCTGGCTCAAAAAATGCTTGCGGAGTAGGCTCGCGGGAATGGTGTTGGAAATATCTGGAATCGCATCTTGCACCGGCATTGCAGTGTGATCCCATCGGCGGCGGAAAGTCGACGATCCCGGTGGCACTCATCCATGGAAGGGATGTCAACTTTCCCCAGATTCGTACCCGTAGAATCGTATAATCGAGGGGGGCCGCTGGGGAAATGGGTACCCCCATGTCGACCGTTAAGCAAGCAGGTAATTCCAGGGTGTGGATGATCTTCCATGCTGCGATACAAGTACCTTACTTACGCGGGTAATAAGAACATGAGGGTGCCATATGGCTTCTGATCCGCATTCTGAAACGTCCAAGGTGACCTTGAGCGAAGCTCAATGCGTCTGGATAGTCGGTCAGAACCGGGCGGGGCCGACGTTTGCGATTCTACGGACTTCCCAAGCCCACGTCCCGATAAGCAGATCCAGGACAAGCGTTGCTCATCATTCCGAACCGGTGCCGGGGTTGGGCGGCCGGTTGAAAGAATGAAGGAATGTCACTAAAGGCGGTTTCATCAGCCGGAGTCACGTCTCCGGGGGTCTCTGCCTGCCTCGATCATCGATCATGATGAGAAGGGCAGACAGAAGAGCGGGGACGTAAACCAGAAAAGCGTGATGGATGACATGGCTGAGTCCAACAAATCGATTCAATGGCTTCGAGGAGGGCTTAAGACGCCAGTTATAAGGCCTGGTGGTTAACGACCTAGTCTGTTATTGGCCAGCTTGTTCACCTCCGCCGCTGATTTTGGCAAAGGCTAAACACTGTGGGCATCCGAATCAAGAAGGAGAATGCACCAACGTACCTGAAAGTACCTACGGAGTATGTCTGTATGCAGCTTGAACGAAACATGCATACACTTCAGTACGTACGCTGACTGCCAACGGAAGGTGTGCATCGTCCCACCAGGTTCCATCTGATTGAGCTGCAAGTGCGGCAACGGCGGAGGAAGAGACCTCCCATCTAGCCCTGATCTACCGGGATCATCATGGCAAGAAGTGAAGATGCCTGCTGCCCTACACTAGTGTAGTACTGCCCTGCTCGCCCTGTTGTTTCGCCCCGTGTACGGAGTACCACAGTAAGCAGCTGGAGCTCGACATAAGTATGCATGTACACAGTGACATGGGACGTCCAATATCCGTATAGCGTAGGACGTAGCACCTGCAGATGTGTCCTTACCTGGGCACTTCCACTTGATCCAGGAAGCGTAGTATACATACAGAAACCCCTGCAGCGAGCGGGGTGTTGATAGCATATTGACACGTTCTCGACGGCCATACGCTGATGGCCCATCTCATGCAATATTAAGAGTGGTTGTATAGCCCGGTTGCTGTTCATCCCAAGCCGTTGGGGTGGATCCAGTACTCGAGCGGCGACGCAGACGTACATACAGTACACTAATGCGATTGCTGTGTAGTATAGCAGCAGAGACGCCGGATGACCTCGGGAGAAGCTTGCAAAGGCGCGGGACGGTAGGGAAGCATTTTCTGTCTTGGCACGCTACGGTTGAAGTAGCCGGCGTGATGTTGCGTCGGAGGATGGGAAGTCGGTCGAGGGGTGGCAGGGGAACATTGGGATGACATTCATTAGTTGATGGAGAAGGAGAGGGGTCAAGTATTCGAGTTTCGATCTGATCATGACATGACGAAGGACGCAGGTTTCCGACAGAGTCTGCGTCGCAGCTGAATGGACATTTCCTTGTTTCCGGGTGGGACAGCTATTGCGTGTGTGGAGGTTTCGCGGCGATAGGTAAGGCGCCGTTGGAACACCTTCATGTGTTCCAGTATCGTCGTCTCTACTCGAGACGGGTTGGCCCGAACTGGTGGATGTGGGAAACATTTTCTGGCATCCCAGACCCGCGTGGAAGGGAGTTTCGCGCGGTGAAAGCCACTGTTGATTTGGCCCGCCAGAGAGCAGTACGTATGTACAGTACATACAATGTAGCGGAGAAGAGATATGGCGTGGACGAGGACACCAGGTTTTTGAGTCCGGGTTCTGCGGTCAGTTGGTACCGGGGCGGGAACAGGCGAGGAACACTTGACACTGCTGAATTACCTGAAAATTGGTTTCTCGTCTTCTCACGGGGCGGCTTCCTCAGCCATTTTGAACGTTGCGGTCAAGTTGTGATGATGACAGATCACCCTAGGCAGGGATCGCTAATCTCAACGAGACGTAAGTTACCGGATGAGTCGGTAGATGCATAAACGGCCGTTGATCAGGAGCATGTCTCTTTGCAATGAAGTCCAGGCAATGCGAACGAAATGCCCCAATCCACAATTGTAGCAAATTGACCGAAAGGGAAAAAAAGTCTTCGCATCTCGGATCTGTCACGCTGGTTTGTGGATTCGCCGTACTTCGTAGTGCCCTTGCCTGTCCTGGAGGTACTATACAGTACATACAATACAGAATGATACCGTAGGGGCGTAATGGACTGGATTGGACTGTATGTACTGTACAATACTGTACAATACCGTCCAGTCCAGTACTGTACTGTACGTTGCTGACTGGTTCACGTTATCTAAGCAAAGGCGCGGCGGGATGCTACCGATTGGAACTCAACTTCGTCAGATCGCCCGACTGAATCTTGGTCGGGAGAGGCTAAAGGTTTACACAAAAGTACATACTGTATAGGTAAACCTTATACCCTTCCTAGAGTGCTATTTGAGTGATCCCGCCAAAGAAACGTTCAATACAGTATTGTAGTAACGTGACTGATCAAACAGAGAATCTGGGAATCTAGAGCTTCAGGGTTCAGGAATCGAAAACATAATTACTTGAGCAGCTGCACCAAGCCATCTGGAATTTATATACGGCTACATAACTGTATACAATACATTACACTAGAGAGTTCGTAGTTTACTGTACGTTAATTACAATGATTACGCTTACACTTACCTAAGTTACGCGAAATCGTTACGCCACGCCAAACTGGTGGGGTTGAATTGATCAACAGTACTGTATGTACAAGATACCTGACTGTGCGGCTACACCCTACGAAGTACTTTATCAAAGTCCGTATTATGACTTCCACACTTCGTGCCGCTCACTCCTTTCTTCATGTTTTGATTCAATGCCATGAGCTTCCTTGTCAGTGGCAGATACCGGTAAGGTATGTTGAGCCGGATTGCTACGTACAACTACCGTACGTGTACTGTACTTCGTAAGATCAGGCTACTACTGTACTATGTAGCCTCGTGCCACACGCTACTAGTAATTACAAAGGTCCTCTCTAGAGTCTAGGCCCATGTGCAAGTGGGTGGTTGAAGGGCCGATTCTGCTTACGCCTGACGACTGTGCACACGGGATTGAACGATGCTATATTCACCATCCCGGTTGTTAACAGATTGTTGATGGTGCTCGAAGAGAACACTTGCTGAGCAGCAACAACAGACCACTCCGCGAGAGGCACAGACTGATGAAACATTTCTACACCCACTGTTGACTTCCCAGCAACTTACTGTGATGCAGTTCTCCAGCAGCCGAAAGCGGCATGCTGTGCCGGTTTTAGGGACAGCCAGTCCTCCGTATGTACTGTACGAAGGTATGTACAGTACGTAGGACCCAACTGGCCTGTGGCCTGTGCGCTGTCAAGTCGGGCCTGGCACATGGACAACCAAGATCTGCAAAGATGGGTTGAACCACGAGCAACCCGATTTCTCCACGAAACATCGGCACGCGTTCCTTGGTTGAGGAAAGAGCGGCACCCGCCACGATTAATTGAGATCTCAACAGCATCAGTGGGGATTCAAAAGCTTGAACCTACCAATCCCTCAGAGCTGTGAGAGCACACCGTTTGCGAGGCCCTTCGCCGATGGGCGGGCAAACGCCAAATCCCTCCATCCTCTTCCTTAAGCAGAGATCCCGAGATTACGCAGAATACTCTTGCTTGAGCATGACGGCTCAAATTACCTCACCGAGTCTGGTTTTCCACGAAGGGAGGGAGCGTAAGGACTCACAAGCCCACTTTCTACCCTTTCTACACTATGTCAATCCGTTTGACCTGGACGGGGAGGGCAACGTCATTTACAATCAGGGCTCCGGTCCGTGACCCGGCCCATTCGGTCTCAAAGGTTCACCCAAGCTCTCGAAACGCGATTCATCATTGACAGGCCTCGCCAAGACCTTCTCGAACCCCTACCACAATAAACATAGGCGGTGCACGGCGGTGTTGAATTTGATGACATATGATTCCATCATCAAGCCACATTCATAGAGTCCCTGCAATCGCCTTTTCTCCGAGTCAGCAAAGGCCACGGCCATCTGAGGGCGGGTACGGAATACTTCGTAGCACCTTACAAATACACACACACACATGCACGTCCTGCGTATGTGCAATTTGCATTTGCCAAGCGGATGCACCCCAATACGCTGCGGGTGTCAATTAATATCGCTTCTGTCGGGACAAGCAGTCATGGTACAGTACAATACCTTCGTACATAACGGTACTTCTAATAGTTAGCATTCTCTCAGGATTACCTTTAGTATCGATCCTTCCTATCGCCACAAAGAGGGAGGCAAAGAACACTCCAGCGAGCTGGTCCGGTCCGTTTTACATAGACAGATCCGCGCTGCTCTAAAACGGCAAGACAAAACTGACGGTTGCCTTCATGCAATGCGCCACAAGAGGAACGCAGAATCGCGGTCCCCTCAGGACTCTCAGTGCCGCGCCTGCATTAGCGGAACGTGCCTAACATACCTTAGTCTGTTCCTGAATATCTGCCATGTGCCAATGCTAATTTGGCAGGCCCTGACGCATACAACACTACGCTTTGACCGACACCTGTCAGTGTTAGCAAGCTAGGGACAATTCTCGGATTCTGGAAGGTTGGGCGAACCGAGCTCAGGCGTTTCCTTTGTTCCTGGACACAGCATCCTCCACGCGAGGATCAGCGTTGACCGCCGTCGGCCTCGGCTAATGTTGGATGAGGGAGAAAACCAAGTTGCCAGGGCCCTACCCTACCCGGCCATCCCGATTCGTAGAAAAAGGGTAGGGCGCGCTCGGGATGCCGAGTCCGTGATGCGAGCGCTGAGATACTGAACATTGACTTCTAATGAATGTCACCCCTGACATTACGGGCGAGACAGGTTGACCGATGAGCAAGAGCTGCAGGATTGGGAAAAGAGAGAGGGAAGCCGGACAGGGTCGGCATCATTACACTAGTGCAGGAGTTCGGGTGAATGGGTGTCCGTGAGAAGAGCTGGTTTGACTGATGAAAGGAGGTGGAAGATGGCAGGCTCAGGCAGGTAGCAAGGCTGGAAAAGGTTTAGAGGGGCAGCTCCGTGTTCATGCGAACCTGCAGCGCACAGACGACGACAAGCTCCAGAACGGGACAGTTCGGACGCTGTATCGTTCAATGCCGGAGCAGGCTAACCTTGGAGAACTGGAAAGACTGCCTTAGCCCGTGCTGACCGCTTTCTTTGGGGGCGATTCTGGACTCCTGTGAAGGCGAGATGAAGAGAAGCGACATAACGTTATGGGACCTGCAAGCAACAGCCCATCGCGACAAAGTCACTCGCGTCGGTCTAATGCTACCTCATTCCCAACAATTGACGAGCATTGCGAATTACTACCACAGCAGGAAACATGATGTTGCTGGCTATGTGTTGTAGCTTACGCGAGTGGCAAGCCATTTGCTCCCTCGCCATCCTGCTGGCGCTTGCAGGCCAGGGTGTAAGTCTGTTTGTATTGTACCCGGTATTGCATGTATGTAAGGTATGTACGCTTGTAGGTATGTACGGTACTGTAACAATACAAGTAGCTCAGGGTTTGCTCCGAGCCCTCTATCGTCGCTATCCGTAGTTCAGAGACTGGGAAAGTGGGAATAGGAAGTCGATGAACAACGTACTGTATGTATGTACATTACGAAGTATGGATACATAAGGTACGTACCACACTGCTTACTGTGGTAGGCAACGTTATGCTAAAAAGCCGCGCTAACTTAGTGTAAGCTCACTAGGTACGCTGGCGGAGCGTTGCCACTTGCCGGCACATTTATCCAGAATCGCGTCGCTGTCTTGGCGCGACGCAGCATTGGGGTAATTACAACATTCCCTTGGTCCATCCTGGACAGCAACGCCGTCCATCGCTTGCTGCTCTGATGTGGTTTTCCTTGAATGAGTAGACCTCTCGGTCGAGCCACCAGAAGGACTCAGTATTCTCTTAGGTGTGGCAACGGTCGGCCGTTTGTTAAAAGTTAACGGGAAGCGGACCACTTCTCTATAATGAGCGAGATTCAGGTCTGCAAACGCGGCCAAGCAATTCCGTCAGTCATCAACCATCGTGCGGCGTTGGCATCTCGACCCATCTCACACCCCAGTCCGCCCTGCCCTGCTCGCGGTTGCGGTATCTGCAAACCCGTCCCCTGCACTTGCTGCAGTGGGTGTGGACTGCCCGCAATGACGAGCCAGGCTAACGCATGAGCTGCGAACTTGTCCACGCACAACGTTAGCAACTGCCCTGCCCCCCCAGTCCTGGCCCCAAAGAACAGGGGGCGTTAACAAGCCGAACAAACCCTGTCTCTCCCTTCTCTCGGTTGGGCGAGTCGGTTTTCAGGAAAATGCGTCGACAGCAGGAAGCAGGGCCCTGAACCCTCAGAATCGATGACAGGCTTCTTGGTGAGTGTTGTGTTGTGTTCAAGAAAATTGCCCTCCCCCCCCTTCCCCCCGTCTCTCGTACCCGTACCCCCCGTAGCGTAGACTATGTAATTACAGACAACATCCTCGCCGTCAATCAATATCACTTGTCGTCGATTCTATTATTGATGCCAGCCCACCTCCACTGGGCTTTAAACTGATCCCTAGTGCCTAGGTGGGTAGTATTCCGGCATCGTCCCTGTTATCCCTCTCGCCTCCGCTGCAACCTAGTACATCGCTGTACCTACCTTATATCTCATCAACAAACCCAACCGCTTCATGACCCATTTTGTCCCATCGCATCCCCTCGTTGTGTAACCAGTCCCAGACTCTCGTCCCCCATTTCAACCGACCCGTCCCCTGCGACCGGATCAGATACAGATATACATGTAGACAACACAGACAACATAGACGACACACCGTCGACTCGCGTCCAACACGGCACTGCGCTCTTGGCTTGTCTAACCCGTCTTCCGGAATCCCAGTCAACCCATCTGTAAGTTGGAGTGGAGCAGTCACCGGCCTACTACACCCCTTCCTACGCGTGAGGGGCATTCCAGGACCTGTCCTCTCTCCCAGCTACCTCCGAGACCGACCTAGATCGCACTGTTTGTGAGTGCCTGGTTTGGTGCACGATACTTCGTACGACAGCACTCCGGATCTGCTCACCCAGCTGTTCCTCGTCTCTCGTTGTCCACCTCGAGGGAACTGCTCAAGGCTTCTGGACCGCCCTGGGCAGACGAAGAGGAGCTCCAGGTCTGGAATCAGACAGAGTGGGGGAAGCACGAGGGGAGGAGAGGCAAACAGTTGGAGAAGCAAAGCTTGGGAAGCATCCGCGGGGCATGAGGACCTCGCCCTCCCGCATCTGCTTACTCGCTTCCATGCCCTGCCCGGTCCTATCGCCACACACCCCGGCCGTCTTTTGACAGCAGCGCAGCAAGCCTGCAGCCTCTGTGCAGAATAGTACCCACCTGAAGTGCTCCAGCATATCGTCTTGCCCCCAGCCCCTCACGGCTTTCAAGTGCTTCGACGGCATACACGACCGCCGTCCGGCTGCGGCGACCTCACTAAACAGAGCCCGCCCGGTTTGCGTAGGTGCTTCCGGCTTTTCCCTCCCCTGCCGACTGACACCGAAGCTCCCGGTCTGCAGTGCAAGCCACACCCCGCTGCTGCACTGCACATACCCGACTGTGAGCTTTCGGCAAGGCACGCCCTACACACCTCCTCCGTGGACCTGCATTGCTTGTAGAGTTGCTTACTTGAATTAGCTATCGATAGGTCCACGTCCTGCCTCTTGCAACCGCTCCTTTCCTCAGCTGGGCACCCCAGCCTTCACATACCTCCTTGTCAAAGCCGTGACTTAAACTCCCGTCCGGCCTCTTGCATTGTCAAACGTGGAGACTCACCTCTGCGTCTATCGGTGTTCGTCTAAACCGGCGCGCCTGCCTGATATCAGGATCTTGTCCCGTGGGCGGAACAAGGCACGGTGCTATCTCGTTCGCCGGATTTTGCCGGTCGCACTCGTAATCTCGACAACTCCCCTTTGACTGCGAGGGATTTCGGGGCTGGGTAGAGTGGAGAGGGTGCATAAGGAAGGGGCCCTCACAAGTCCGTTTGAAAAGGTCCAACGGAAAGTCGGAAGAGGAGCCAAAGGAGAAGGAGCGTGTCGTTGGCGACAAGGCAGGAACGCAGGAAGGAACGAGCAACAAGTCGATCTTTGTTTCTGGAATCCGCGACCCGTCAACGTTTCTCCTCACACGACGTCGAGTATCCTTGTTCTATCCCGATTCCATGGTTGCGCTATCTGCAAGCCCTTCTTGCTAAACTTCGTTCATTACCCCCTTGGGATCCAGCTGCATCCGTGGGAGACCGGATCACTAGTTCTGCGCGGCATACCCAAACCATTTCAGACACCAAAATCAGCATTCACCATGATGATGTCAACACTAGGAGGAGGTGATTTCGAGTTGGCGGTGCGCCAACAGCCCAAATATGCGTGCGTTGCCATCGGCAAGGGTAAAGGTATATGCTCCAACCATGTCTCATTCGTTTTCGCCTCCTGGCCCTCGTTTGTCTTCCACGGCTAACACAGCCATGCAGAGCGAAAACCAATAGACCCGCCACCTATCGTACAGCTCATGGTCAACCCAAGAAAAGACCCGGCCAAGACATTTCTGCAGAACCCGTACTTAATCCTGACAGCGAGGCTGATCCGCAAGGGCGACGACGAGACAGAAGAGCAGCAGCAACCAGGACTGAAGGAAAGCGACTTGACTGGCACTCTCGTCTCATCCCTCTACAGCCTCAAGGACACAGACAATAGCCAGGGCGGGTTTTTTGTCTTTGGCGATCTGTCGGTCCGGAGAGTGGGCACCTATCGGCTCGCCTTCATCCTCTACGAGCTCAAACTGGCCGAGAAGGAGTGCTGGCTCCTCGCCCGAACAGTGTCCGATCCCTTTGTCGTCTACGCGACCAAAACCTTCCCCGGCCTCGCCGAATCTACTTTCCTAACACGGTCCTTCAGCGATCAGGGCGTCCGTCTCCGCCTGCGCAAGGACTCGCGGACCGTGTCCACCAAAAAGCGCACCATTGGCGTTGTCACGCAGGCCGACCAGCTCCGGGCGTCGCAGGGGATTCACGGCTACCTGCCCCACGATGGCAGCCCCCACGATCTCAGCCCGAACGGACACTCGCCCCATCACATGCGCCGTCTCAGCACCTTCCAGGACCCCCCCGGGCAGCTGGATCGATCTCGCGGTTCCATGGGGTCGCAGGGCAGCTACTACGGTGACTCGCCTCAGATGCGGGGGAGCGAGTACGGGACGGCCTCGTATGGGTACAGCCCGTACGATGACAAGCCGCACAAGCGCGCACGCATGGACAGCAGCAGCGGTGGCGGCAGCGGATCCGCCGACGAGGCCAACCACGGCTACGAGAGCGACTACCACCCCTACGCGCAGGCCGCTGCCGGACCGCGGACACTGCCGGACACGCTCGGATCAATGTACCCCATGGCGGCGGCAGCCGTTACGACAAGCTACCCGGTGCCAACGCAGCCGGCCATGACGGGCTTGCCGATGCCCACGACGTACGGGGGACATGCCATGCCGCGCCTCGACACGTCAATACCCCCGCATTCGCCGGCGACGGGCGCGCCCAGCTCGGCCGCGTCAACCTCCTTCTCCCCCGGCACCAGGCGGTCACCGGGCTCGGCATACCCATACCCGCCCCAGCATCACCATCACCATCACCCCGCCATGTACGCCTCGTCCCCCGCCAGCTTGCCCTACCACACCCCCGGCTCCCAATTGCCGCAGCCCGGAACCGGCCTAGGCATCGCCACGCTCCCTAGCCACCTCGATCTGGAAGGGGTAGAGAAGCAAGCGTAGCTTCGATCAGGCCATAGGTTTTTCTTATTCTTCGAATTGATTGATGTTCCTTGGTCGGCGGGGCCGGGGGATTCGGTTGCTAGGTTGCGCGTATTCATCTTCTATTCTCCTTCTCCGGCATTGGGATGGAAAAGAAAATAAATGGGGTTGGCACACTCAAGTTACTATACCACAGGAGCCAGGGAAGGGCTTTGGTGCGATGTGTTTCACCCTCTCTTTAAGGGGCTCGGATGCTGATGCTAACTTGGTCGGGTTTTGGTGAGGAGGAGGAAGGCGATGTCCTCATTTGGCTCTTCCCCATTCTACTCTTTCTCTCTTTCCTTTGTCCCACACCCCTGAGCTTGATTGCCTAGTACCATTCAACACTTTTTACTCATTTCAATCTGTTCATTCCCACAAATCTGGAAGACAGGCAAGGCATAGACCAAATCAAGCTTATGATTCTCCACCAGGTCTGGACTGTACTTTTGGCGGTTGGCCCGCTGTCGTTTCACTTCCCCCCCTTACACTGCTCTATCTTCTTTGTTACTGTTTACTCGAACCTCCCTCGGGTATTTTCTCTTAGCATTCTCCTTCTTTTCACACCCTCAATACCATACTTCCTACCGTTAAGCAAACTTTGCACCTTGATATGAGAAGGCAGAAAGGCAAAGGTCATGGTGGGCGGGTGCTGACGACGGTCGACGGCGAGGAAGCGAGCAAAGATACCCTGGGCGAAGGAGGGGCTGGCTGGCTGAAAGCATAACTAACGGCTTGCAAACTGCATGGAGTACATTCAAGAATGCTTGTTGGATGCTGGATTTTTCTTTGGCGGGCCGGGTTGTGGTCGGAGTTGGGTTAGGCTAGGTTAGGTTTAAGCAACGGTGATAATACTGGTTTCTACAACTTAGCAAACATTGTTGTGTATGTACCGAGTGAACTGCGACGTAAGCAACTTTCTGTTTGATGGGTTATTGGCCGTTGTTTCCGCTCGTGTTGACTGGCGGGACTGTAACAGCCAACCCCTGAGTCGCACAAACGGCGCGATGTGATTGGCCAGGCTTGTTTTGTTTACGCTCCGAAATGGAACGCCACCACAAGGGGTTCAGGCCCTGGATTGAAAATCCGCGAGGGTCTCGCAATGATAAATTAGGTTCCTTCAATCTCAGAAGTTTCGATTTCATCCTTATTTTTGACATGGGGGAAGGGCTGACTCGTCTCCTCGCAGTGGGCTGTTGCCGTGATTGAAAGTCCAGTCTCTAAGTGGCCTCGATAACTCCACGCATCTGGAGAATAGCGCCTCTATGCAGCATGTCGACGATCCTCTATACCGTGTGTATGGGTGCATGTATGTATGTACATGAGTAAGAGCCCACTGTTGATATCGCTGTTCAGAAGTTGACTCTGTATAACCCGGGCTTGACACGGTCCCCATACCTGCCACTTAGTTTTCGACCGCTCAACCAAGAATGTGCGAAGAAAGTCCGCCTGTTTTAGGTTGAACCGACTCCCATGAATGACCGACCGGCGATCTGGTTCCGGAGTGATCGACTCGCCGCAGTTTCGACCACAATTGCTGCATCAGGTTCCTAACCCTTCAGGCTTTCGCTCCGCCAGTCACTCCCGTCTATCCCCACCTTGCCCGCAGCGCCTCATACAGCGTCTGGTTGACGGGCAACACGCTCCCGTGCCTCAGGTTCTTGGGGAAGTTGCGGCTATCACTCGCTGCCCACCCACTGTTACTTCCCGGGCTTATACTCTCATACGGGCGGTACCCGTCACCGCCGTAAAAGTCCAGTAAAAGATGCACCTTGTTCGGGTTTTGATTGTCCAAGTATGCAGCCGGGCCTTCCACATTCGCCTGTATTATTGCCGAGGAACCGCCCGGTCGGGTCCAGGTACCGAATAATCCTGTGCTGGAAACCTCGACGAAGACATTCTTCTTGCTCTCGTCCTTCATGAACCGTAAGAAGGACTGCCCATTGCTGCCATTGAGCGGGAGGATATTCAAGTCGATGATGTTAGTGGGTGATTTGTCGATGAGCGTCTGCGGCGCCGTAAATGTTTTGAAGTCGCTGGTGTAGGCGTAGCGGATGCGAATGTTGGAGGGCGAGCCGGTGTGCCTGGGGTCGGAGGTTGAGTACTACGAGTGACAATTAGTATGTAGTCCGTTTGTGTACTCCCTTCTTTAAAGCTCGCTTGGGATGGTCCTCACAAATTTTGACGCCCAGTGAACCAGATACTGCCCTGGGTATACAGTCAGCCCCACGGTAGCCCAAAGCCTCGAGGCCAATCACTGTGCCTTTCGCAGGGTCCCAAATTGCCTCGGGAGCCCAGACCATGCCGGCAGTCGCATCCTCCACCACGACGAGCCTTTCGTTGACCCAGTTCACGAGATCTGTACTCTCCCAAACAAAGATTCCCCTAGACCCAGTCCGTTGTGCCGCATCCCACGTCGTCTGTCCGGGAGTCAGGGTGCTGTCTAGAACGCCGCCAGCCCGGTAACTCCTGGCCTAACCCACCTTGCCAATGTCCAAATCTGTTCCTATGATGTACCACTTCTTGCCTGTTTCGCTTCCTCCGCCCGGGACGATGGTTGGGTCGCGAACGCCCCCCGTTCCCTTCGTTGGTCTCACGATAGGAGTGCCTCGATTCAGGGCCTTGAAGGAGAGAGGGTCGTTTCCATTGCTGAGGTAGAAGTACACGTAAGGATCGGCCCCAAGAAAAAAGACCCCTAAGTACCCGGCCAGGCTAGGGTCTGCACGCCTCGTGACTGCACCGCTAAAACCCATGACGTCGAGGTTGAACCCTGGTGAACTCTCTCTGCCGAAATTGAGCCCGTAGCAAGGCCATGACGAGAAAAGAGCAGTGAGGAGAACCACACTCCAGGGCCCTTTCCACTTCATCGTGACGTAGGGCGGATGTAGTCTTGTAAACCTAACTGCGAGGACCCAGATACCAGGAAGACAACAGAAAAGGGTGGCAACCGGAACCAGGTGGATGTTGCAGGACGGCAGATTTATATGCTTCCCGTGGCCATCACCCGCTCCATACTTTCTGTAAAGGGCATCACCCGCCGTTTCGACGCCGCTTCTCCACACCCTGTTGTGGAAGGTTGCATTTAGGCTCAAAGCATCAAGAACAGTGCTCCACGCTTGTGGCTAAAGTCCCAATGAGGCATGCGCGCGATGGCGAGAATCAGAAGCTACCCACGCGCGCGAGCGTCTCGTAACTGCTGGAATTAATATTTCGCGGTTGCGCGCAAACTGACGCTCCCAGCATTCGGCTGCCGGAGGCTTAGCGCACCGGAAAGGAAACGGATTAGTGGAAAATTATGTCTGCTGGCTAGGAAGGTTGTATTGGCACCAAACTCCACGCTCCGTTCTGAGTACGGCTGCAATGATCGGCAGTTGAATGCTGAGAAACAGCACTGACAACTCCGATGATATCCTTGGGTGATGTCAGGTGAGCGAACAGGGGGGGGCCAAGCTCAACCTGAGTTCATCCCTGTACTCAAATGATCAACGTCCGCTGAGAACTGAGGTTCCTGTCGTAATAGAGTTAATTTCATGCCGTAGATGTGGGGTTATTAGCTGATATGTCTCGTGAAAGTGAGTTCCTCGTCCAATTTGGAATGGTTGTCGGTCGTGGACAACAATCCAATCTCGAAGTTCGCCTTGCCTTGGGCATTTGCTAAGACTGCCTCGAAGGCATTCATGCGAGTTTCAAGCGCTAGATCCGAAATGGCCGAGCCTTGCGAGTCTCGAAGTCTTGCCGGATCAACCTCCACAAAGCCGGCTGACCCATCCTCGGGTCCGCAGTCACCAGAATCTCGAATTTGAGAGTCGACGGGAGGTTCAGTGAAACCCCCCAAGATTGGATAACTTTGGCTGCAAGGAGCTGACAATGGTTCTTCCGGTACCAGCAAGCGATGGGTAGTAGTAGCAGCGGAGGCGACAGTAACCTGGCTATCAATGTCACTAGCCACACGATTTTGTCGTGTTCCAAACTGTTCCCGCATCAACTCGTCATGACGGAATGTGTTTCCAGAGCACTGCTGCGAGAACAGATGTTCAATTGTAATCCCTGGCGGATTGAGTCAGTAGCAGCCACTTCCCGATCTCCTAGGGATGTCAAACCTTCGAAGAGCCATCTGGGCACATCCACGGTACATGGCCACACGTCTCTAGGTTTGAAAGCCTGGACAAGGTTGCAGAGCTCTGGATAAGATGAATGACGCGAGTATGGGAAGGTGATGGTGTTGGGTAGAGTCAAGTTCCTGGACTCAGTTGCTGAAGGTTGCTGTTTGCGCATTTTGAAACCCTTGATAATCGCTTCCAGGCCGTTGACGAGATCGGTCTCGTTGTTCTCTCCAAAGGCAGACCGTGCCAGATCAAGGGGGACCTTCCTCCCACTAGTCACAGCGCCCAGCAAAAACTGACGGATTTGCTCTCGGAGGTTATCAGTAGTATTATGCATATCGCCGAGCCTGCGGAGTTAGAGAGATGTCATAAACGGGAGGATGGAAACGTACAGCTCAAGGACAGAGTCAATGTCAGCCGGTGAGAGATAGTCCAGCTCTGCCTCCCGCTCCAAGTCGTCCCCACCCCCTCCGACCCCAACTTCAGCTACATCTTGGCCATTCGGAAGACGAGTAATGATGGGGCGGATCCATACTACCGGCGACTTCTGTACCGTCTGGCAGTAACTGCCCTTTTCACAGCTATGAAGTCGGACTTTCTCGTCAAGGGTCAAGCAGCCCGGATGGTACGTGTTGCCGCACATAAAGCCTACCAAAGCTGGGGCTTCTTCAGCAAGATGTAACTGGGGGGCAAACTTTTTTCCCGAGTCTTTGGTGACGAGGGAACGGAACATCAACATTTTGTATTCGTCCACGTGGATCTGTAAGTCAACATCAGCAGTTGCCGAGGGCTGATCCCCAGGATTTGAGTTTACCCTTGACCTAAGTGCCTTAGAGAGTGCTATCCAAACATCCTCATACCTGCATAACGGTTGGCGAGTTTGCTTCAAGGTGTCTTTCGAGACACGAGACTTACCCGTACGTCCAAGCCTGAAAATGGAACACAGTATCGGCCGGGTATCGGAAAACTTTCCGCAGCAACTCAGCGATGCCCTCAGATTTCGTTGGAAATTCAATGTTGTCGATGAAAGATGTATCGAGGTAGATCATGTCGAGCGTCTTGAGCCCAGAAGAGTACTCGATCAAAGACGGGCATCGAGTAATTGCATTCACAAACCAAGGCTCGCTCCTTATATCACCGGTATACAGAACAGCCTTGCCCTGTCCCTCAAATACTGCGAAATTGAATGTCAGAAGAGAGAGAGAGAGACTAGACTGGTGTATTTTGGTCGAGAAACTCACGGAACATGACAGCACCAGGGCAATGGTTTGCGTCAAAGAGCGTCACCTGAATATGGTTGCCAGGCGAGAGTTCAACAGACGTCGGAGTTTCCAGGGGCAGAGGTTTCTAAAGGTATGAGAAAGAGGCACTGGACAGTGGTGCTTCTGGGCTTACCAGCAAGTTCTTGAGATGGCGATATCTCTGTATGCGGGCTTCCAAGATGCCATTTGCATAGTTGATGCGGCAGGGATATCGCTCGAGGCGAAGAAGCATTTCTCTCGTGGCAGCAGAACAATAGACGCTAGATGATACATACGGGTTAGAAGGTCTAGCTGACCTTGGCAGGTCAATGATGATGTCCGCGAGCTGACTCGTACAAGGGTGATCGAAAACTTTCCAAGCCAGCGAGGTGATCACTGTGGATATGGCTCAAAAAGCATGCCAAGGGAGGGTCAAGGCTCGAATGAGAGCGGAAGTAGTCGACTGAGGTTGGGTTAGCTCCCGTGAAACCCGGCAAGAGAGGCACTGTTGAATGAAGTCTTGCCTCTAATGTCAGGGAATTCGGCCAATAGGCCGTTGAAGGTAGACATGGCAGTCTTGGGCGCTTCTGTCTGAGATGATGTTGTTGGTTTGGGTCTTGTAATATCCAGTTCAAGGTGCAATTAGCTCCTTCAAGTTTGCGGTTAGGATTGGCGCAAATGCACAGCTCCAGGAAGGAACACCCTTTTCCTCTGGCAGAAGGGCAAGCGTTCCCCACCACATCTCAACTATAAACCCCCCCACCTCTGTCTCCCTCTCCCATCACCTACCGGACAGGACGTTGAATGACAAAGAAACCTAGTGAAGATGAACACAACGACGGGCCATGACGGTGGACGCTGGATCCTTGAGTTGCTAAATAACCAGGATTCAATGCGGTTTATCAAGTTTATCGAAATTGGCCAGTGTTCGTTATGCGTCCTTGTGGGAAGCTGCACACACAAATGAGCGGGAATGCAGGAGCTTCTCTAGAGACAACAGCATCGCTTTGATAGCACCGATTGTCGACCGACCTGGTTGGAGACTGGAGTTTTGGAAAGCCGACTCGAGGTCTGACGCTCGTTAGGTTACAGGTGTTGCCGGGCCGATCGGAAGATGGCCCAAGCGTTTGCGCCATGTTCTTATCTCAATCAGGGATGACAGCTGAGGATCGAGGACCCCTGCTGCTGGATTCGTAGGTGCAAGACAAAAGACCTTAAATCAACCCCGGCCGAGATGCAAGTAATCACGCTATGCGTGTCAGCAACCTGGATCCTGTTTCACTTGTCAGAAACCTAACGTAGTAGGCCACCTTGTCTATTGACGACACGAACGTCCAAATATGAGAGCCAGAAGTGCGGCAAGACAAATGGCTCGGCACACTTGCTAAGAAGTTCCGTTGCTACTGTACGTACGGAGTACCTTGATCGCTCACATCGGCCATGGGCAATGAACACATAAGCGCCCGACTCCTCGAGTCGCTGACTCCAGGTGCTATCGCTGCCCTCATCTTTGCCATAACAGTTGGCTGCTTCATTGTCGACTTCGCGTCGAAGCCCCGCTACCCAAAATCGCTGCCTAGGGTAGGGTTTGGTGATGGCCTCCTAGGCGGCCTCAAGAACCTGCTTTACTTCACCGTACGCTACAACACATGGATGGCTGAGGGTTATAAAAAGGTAAAATTACCTCATTGTCCTGCTGCCTACTAGTAGTCTACAGGCCATCGCCTCATCGCGAATAGGTATTCCAACATCAAACTTACAAACTATAACTACAGTACTCAAAGCATGGCCGCTCTTTTGTTGTGCCGTCGGCCCCCAGCCGCCCACAGGAAATTGTCGTGCCGCGATCCCAGGCGGCTTGGATGCTCGAACTCCCAGACCGGATGTTGTCCACCAAGGAAGCGCATAGGGACGCCCTACACAATGACTACCAGTTCTTTGGCACCGACGACCAGTTCCCGATACAGACCATCCACAAGCACCTGGCCCGCAATCTCGTTGGCCTTATTCCCGGCTTGCAGGACGAAGTGCACGGCGCGATAGATGACACTTTCGGGGTGGACACGGATCATTGGAAGTCACTGAACCTCTGGGAAGCATGGCTCGGCATTGTTCCCCGTGTGACCAACCGGATGCTGGTCGGTGCCCCGTTGTGTCGAGATCAGGGTTTCCTCGACAGCCAAGTCGCCTTTGCCGACGACGTCTTCCGCAACAGCTTCATCCTGGCCATGTTCCCCCGCGTTTTCCAGCCCCTTGTTGCGCCCATGTTCGTCCTTCCCAACTGGTGGCACTGGCGCAAGTCGTACCTCAAATCCAAGCCGCTGATCGAGCAACGTCTGTACGATATGGCCCGAAAAGCCTCGGGCGACCCCGCCTACGACGACTGGCAGCCACCAGAAGAAATGCTAACCTGGCTGATACGCCAGGCAAAGGCGGACGGCCTGGGCCACGAACTCAACCCCGAACTACTCTCGAAGCGGCTGCTTCCCATACAGTTCGCGGCCATCCACACCACCGTCATGACTGGTTTCAACCTGTTCCTTGACCTCCTGTCGTCGGACCCCTCGCTTGGCTGTCTCGACGCGATTCGTGAGGAGACTTCGCGCGTCTTGGGCGAGGACAACGGCGCCTGGACAAAACAGGGGCTGGCCCGCCTCCACCGCACCGACAGCGCCATCAAGGAGAGCATGCGCCTCAGCAATTTCGCCCAGGGCCTTACCCACCGCAAGGTCGTTGCTCCGGAGGGCGTCACCAACCCCGCCGAGGGGTGGCATGCACCGTACGGCGCCCTCCTGATGCTCGACATGGGCGGGACACACCACGACCCGGAGCTGTACGAGAACCCGGACCACTACGACCCCTGGCGCTTCTCGCGCGTGCGCCAGGCCTACGAGGCGCGGCCGGCCGAGGACAGGCGGGATCCGGACGAGGCCGTGGAGATGAAGAGGCTGGGTATGGTGACGACGAGTGCCGAGTTTCTTCCTTTTAGCCATGGGCGGCATGCTTGGTGAGTTTTTTTCCCCCTCGGGTGGGATACTAGTAATGCGCGTTGCTGATACAAACCCAGCCCCGGCCGGTTCTTTGTGGCGCACGAGCTCAAGATGATTTTGGCTTACTTGCTACAAAACTATGACATCAAGCCTTTGCCCGAGCGGCCGAAGGGCTTTTGGTTTGGGGGTAACATATTGCCGCCAGTGCAGGTTAGAATTGAGGTCAGGAGACGAAAAGGCACGATTTGAGGTGCTGTCATGGCGTGTTATTGGTCGTTGAATCTGGCTGCGCCGGTCGGCGAGTGAGCATGTCGGCTTGACGCTTTCCTCTCTTGGTGCTGGCACCGCTGCTATAAACGGAACATATACGCAACGCCGCTTACAAGACGGGGCTGCTTGCAATTCATGAAGCTTATGATTTTGCATGATTAATTTGGATAATTCAGTTCAGATACCGAGAAGATCCTGACAGTGTTTTATTGTCCTCAGTCTCGGAACTGCCCCTGGGGAGTGTACCGCCAGTTCGAGAAGTAGGCCGGCGTCGTCCCGTTTCCGCCATTTTTTGTGCTGTAGATGCCCAGCAGCGTACCTGTATTCGGAGCTCAGGTCAGCAAACACCAACAAAAATCCGCTTAGAGACGCACCCCGCAACACAGAACACAAACTCACCCGTGAACCCCCAACTAACTGCCTCATTGGAAGCATACAGAACGGTCTGCATAGCTGACCTCCTCCCGGCAGGACCGACGCTGAACGAGTAATGCGTCGCGTTAGCAGCCTTGATCTCCAGCGTCACCGTCAGCTCCCGCCCTCCACTTTTACTACCACCACTGGTAGTATTAGTTCTAGCCGGCCACCATGCCTCCACAGGCAGGGGCACCACGACCGGCTTGGGCACCGGCACGTACGACTCCCCTCGGAACCGCGCCATGGGCACCAACTCCTCCTCCTCGTCCTCATCCCCATCCCCAGTCTCAGCGGGACGGTATCCCGGCAGGGCGTCCATGGTGCTCGCGTTGCGAGGGAGGAGCACGACGCCCAGATCGAGGTGGTGGTTCTGCGTCAAAAAGGCCGTCACGCCGGCTTCTTCGTCGGCTCTGGACGGGAAAAAGGCCAGGTCGATGCTGAACGCGAACAGTGTGTGCTGCTGGCGCCGCGCGACGAAGCTCTGCCCCTCGGGCCCGGCATAGTTGCCGTTTAGGGCCGTCAGGTTCAGCCGAGATGGGTTCAGCCGGAGGTGGTTGGGCCTGGACGGCGGGGAGATGGTCATGGCGTCCCGCGGGGGGAAGCGCCAGTGGATGAGGTGCGCTGGGAGGATGGTGTTGGGGCCGAAGGTGAGATGTTCGGGCCTGGGGTCGTTCACGAAGGGGCTGTGTCGTAGGGGGGAAGGTTGGTTAGTGAGAGAGTGGTGAGACTGCAGGGAGGGCAGCAGTATGAGAAGTAGGCGGACTTTACCCTACGCCGCGAATGTCGGTTGCTGTGGGCGGCATCTCCCAACCGCTCATTTTTCCTGTGATCGGGGTGAATGTAGGGAACTGGCCTTCGGGCCAGCTCACCGGCGTCATGACGGTTTCGCGACCCATGGGGTAGTGCAGATAGTCGGGCCCGGAGCGTGTTGAGAGGGCAACAGCCCACCTGCGAATCTACTTGTTACTGCTTTTTCTGGGTACAATACAGTGCCCCTTCATGGCTGCTGGTTGGATTTCTTACCAGTTTCCTGCCCCGTCCTGGAATAGATCGGAATGGCCAACAGTTTGAACTTAAGGCAGTCAGCTTAGTCCACTTAAATCCAGCGAAGAAGCATATCTCACAGTAACTCGTGGTGTTCGCATTAGTTAGGACCGGATTTTGGGCATAAGACTCATAAGGCCCGGAGACGTTCTTCGATCGGGCCATGGTCACCATGTGGCCGAGCCCAGTACCGCCTGATCGACGGCCTTTAGCTCCTTTGTATGGAAGCGCTCTCAGAGGTGAGAATCTCACCTTCTGCGGCTAGAAGATAGTACCACCCATCCTTACGATATATATGTGGTCCTTCGGGAGCCTGATACGGTGAGGTCAGCGGTGGTTGCTCACGGTCAGGCGAACACATAGTAGTTACCAGGCCTCCCGTCCCGTTCCAGATCACCCGCCACTCGCCCACTTCGCCGGTATCGAGGTCTGCCTCAGCCTGCTGTATATACGGCCTTATTCCAGGGGTGAGTCTGTGTCATAAAAATAGGGGTGAAAGGAGCACCAACCCGACCTGCCAGGCGTGCGCACCGTTGATGTACGTCTTTCCGTCCACGTCCCAGAAGGGCTCTGTATCATATCCAGTGAAGTTGAAGTGGACAGCATTCGACCACGAGGCTGGATTATAGGGGTCTTTGCCCTTGAAGATAATCTGCCGTGAAGACGTCAGTCTACAGCTTCCTGACTTCAGCAGGGCAGTAACCGCACATTATCCCATCTGGAGGAGTCGGCCTGGGGGCGATCATCATCGACCAGCGTGGTGACCAGCCAGAAGGTCTCGTCATGAAAGCGGAGGGTGGGTGCCCATATGCCGCTGTCCAGCAGTCAGCCAACCGACATAAGTAGCCCACAAAGCTCATGTCTCATCACCTCGTCGACCTGTTGGTCTCGGCTAGTCGAGGCAGCTGCTCTCTCCGGTTCAAGACATGACCTATCAACTTCCAATTCTGCAGGTCCTTGCTGGCGTGGATTGGGATACCGGGAAAGGCATTGAAACTTGATGAGGCACAGAAGAAGGTATTGTCGCGCTCAGGGACATGAATGCAGCTGGGGTCTGGGTAAAAGCCTGGAAATATGGGATTGTAGAAGGTAGAATTAGCTGCATGGCTGATGGACAGGACCATGCAGAAAGACAGCCCCAGTAGCACGCGAGCAGGAAACATGGTGTGGCCTGCTTAGGTCGATTTCTGCTTTATACTTTATTATTCCCGCGAACAGGTGCATTCTCAGCGAAGCAGCGCACCCTCACCATACCTTATGTATCACAACACTAAGTGAGCCATCATCGCGGATCTGGGTCGGGTATTAAGGCGGCCCCGCAGACGGAAAAGAAGCATGTTGCATCTCCGGGTAAAAGGGGGTAAACAAACGAGATGGCCGATCCGGAGCTTGAATTAGGCACCCGATCAACGCAACGGCCGATGCGGATGTATCCGCTGCCAATGGTCCATAGGTACTCGGCCACCTCCAACCCCGTCGTATACCAGGGACGGGTTCAAGCGCCGGTGTACGGTGACGATCGACAGCCAGCCTAAGGTAACCAACTGGGCCATTAAACCCACATGAAAGAGAGGAAATCCAAAGTGGCGCTATCAAGCACCACCTTACCACCAACCTTCGAGGAAGAAAGTAGCATTGCGGCGCTCAACTGGTTGTCCCTGACTGCCCATGGAGAGAGTGTCTCCTGGATGAACACGTTAGCTACCTAAATTGATCACCAGTGTACAGCTTGACGCTGTAATCTAACTGACGCCTATCTAAACCCATGAGTGTGGCTTTTGAGAATGAGAAGTGAGATAGTGCAGTGAGATAGTGCAGTGACAGCCAGACGGCATTCTTGAACACATCATAAAGGGAACATAGGGACTCCACAAAGATGTGAGAAGATCGGAAAAGGAAAATAGGAACGAAGACCTTGGTTATCTACTTCACTGCAGTAACATCGCGGAGAGGTATGGTTCCAGAATAGAGAACAGTGCAAGGCTGGTTGAGCACCTGAGACTACCGTAGCCAACTTTGTAGTTGAGAGAGGGCAACGAGGGAGCAGAGCCCGACATCTTCGGTGATGTCCAAGAAAAGTGTGGGTCTGTAACCTCCAAGTTGGTATTATTGACGTTAGCCACTGTGTAACGCGGGGGAATTACAGCAATTACAGTACCAATCCTCCCTACGAATTAACCCAAAATTTAGCTTAGGCTTTTGTACGGGGTAGGTCAGGTAGTGCATCCCTTAACGTTACAAGGGCGTGTATGTAAATTACACCGCTCAAAGCCACCAACGCTGAGTCCACAAAAGTTCAAGTAAGTTACAAAGTAACCATAAGATACGTAACACCGTTTACGAAAGCCTCCACTGTCATCAACAGCCACCTAAGAATCCAAACCACGATAATAAGCAAAAACCCCAGTTCGGCGGGCGGGCGGACGCATCATCGCACAAGCTATACCTGCTATCCGCCCAGCCAAGGGTTGCGGGCTACAAGTTCGAACATCTCCAGAGGCTTTGTTGCAAGGGAAGCTTCCCAAAATATCCCCGCCACCACCATCACCATCGTCCGCCGGCATCGCCCGGCCTCCATTACCCAAAAATGCAGGGTTTCAACATGGGACGCTACGTCCCGCCCGAGCACGAAGGGCTTGTCACCTCAGGCAACGCGCTGCACAAAAAGCACCCGCTCGGCGCGCGCGCGTCCAGGCTCGCCTCGCAGGGGATTTTGGTCGTGCGCTTCGAGATGCCCTTCGCCGTGTGGTGCGCCACCTGCCCCAAGCCGACGCTGATCGGGCAAGGGGTGCGGTTCAACGCCGAGAAGCGGCGCGCGGGGAGCTACTACAGCACGCCCATCTGGTCCTTCAAGCTGCGGCACCCGGCCTGCGGCGGCGAGATCGAGGTGCGCACCGACCCCAAGAACTCCGAGTTCGTCGTCGTGTCCGGCGGGAGGAGGCGGGATGTCGGGTCTGCCGAGGCGGACGGGGACAGCCTGATACCCAGCAGCGGTGGCGCGGGGTTTGTCATTGCCACCGAGCGGGAGCGGGCAGAACAGCGCGAGAGCGCCTTTGGGAAGCTGGAAAAGACCATTGCCGACCGCGAACGGCTCGAGATGGCTGGCCGGAGGATAGGCGAGTTGCAGGATGTGGCAGACAGGCAGTGGGATGATCCGTACTCGCAGAATCGGCGGCTGAGGGACGCTTTTCGGGTCGGGAGGCACGCGAGGGAGAAGGATGCGGCAAGAGCCGAGGAGTTGAAGGATCAGATGAGTCTGGGTATTGAGCTGCTGCCTGAGGCGGAGGAAGATGCCAGGCGAGCAGCGCTGATTGATTATGGCAGTGTGGGGGATGGAGACGGCCTCGGTGTCGACAAGGCGCTAGCCAGGCCATTGTTCATGGAAGAATCGGGTCGGAGGGGTAAAAAACGGAACGGGCCAGGAAGCGGCGAGCCGGCGAAGGGACAGCCGAAGCTCAAAGAGGAGATTGCGGCATCCCGGACGAAGGAGAATCTCGTCTCAGAAATCGTGATCAACACTCGTGCCGCTAAAGACCCTTTTCTTGACTTTGGCAGCAGGGAGAGCACGCCGAGAGGCCCCACCCGGCTTCCGGGCCTGAAGAGGAAGAGAGCCGCAGAGGAACCCCCCGACCCTCCACCGTCTGCTGCGTCTGGGAAAGACTCACCGAAAGCGCTTGCTGGCACAACAGCTTTGGTGAGCTATGAGTCAGAGTCAGACTAAACTGTTGGCTATTTCATGTCGTGATGGGTTGTACGACCGGACTGTTAAAAAAAGCAAAATGGATACTTAGTGATACCCCTGGGATGCATTACGGAGTTTGGAGTGTGTCTAGGCAGTTATTAGCGTTATAGACATTATTGCTGCTCGAAGCGCTAAGCCGTCTAAGCCGATGCCTGTTGACGGGTGACTAGAGTAATATCCTATAGGATGAGGGGCCATCCCCTCGACGTGGCGCTTCCATCCCATCGTCAGGCACTTGAAAGTCATGCTGTAGTCTACGATTCTGCCTCTGTACTCTATTCCATCCCATATGATGTTGCCTCAATTACCGAAATCTGGCGATTGCCGCATTGTTCCTCGCTTCACAATCTCATCACACCTCACAGAGCCCCTGATCTGGTACATTGTCTCTCGCTAGCATCAATCATAACGTTACCCACACACTGAGTACATAAAAGTTGATTCAACCTGAAATTGGCCTATTACTACGCTCAAACAACAGTCATAGCCAATGTTGTTTGACTCGGACTTCACTACAAAAGGGGTCTAAGGCACATAGATGAATTTACGCCCAACAACCCCCTGATCGGTCCGTCCACTCCAGTGATGCTGTGTTAGGGGAGAAGCAAGGAAAGGGAAATTTGTAGATACAAAACACAAACACCAGAGCCCACCATATACAACTCCATGAGAAAAATGCAAGTCCATCGCTAGAAAAAATGAGGTATGATAAGTATTGACCGCTTTCCATGCCGTGACCCCCGGAGATGCTCCTCCGGTCTCGCTCACGCTATCATACGTCGTCCATCTGACCCGCAGCCTGTTCTTCGTCGTCGTCGTCATAGCTCGGTACCGAAGAGAGGTCGTCGTCGTCTTCGCTCTCGGCGCCGGCCTCGTCCGCAGCCTCCTTACTGGCATACCTTTGGACGTATTCTAGATTTGAGTCAACTTCGTCAGCCAAGCGCCACGCCGACTTTGACATTGATCGCGTTAAGCTTTCTCACCCTTGACTTTTTGGTCATAACTCTTAGGCTCCCTCATCAACAAGGCGGCTGCCTCTCCGTTCAGGGGGTCGGACGGGTTCGGATAGCGCAGCAGCTGCGGAAGGAAGACCTCGAAAATATTGATCATGTCGTACATAGGCGACCACGTCTGGTTGATGACGTCCAGGCAAACCGATCCCGACCTAGTCCAGCCTCTTAGTCATCCATTCGTTTTGTTCCACCTCCATGGAACCGGCCTCAGCTGCATCTCCTTGGGGTTCCGCCCAGGGAATGCAGAGGCGTGAGCTGTGAAACCGCCGCCTCCTCTTTTGCCCGCCTTCATCTGTCCTACTTACAGTTCATCGATATTCGGGTGGAAGATCCGGTTAACGAAGCCGATGCTCGGGGACTTGTAGGGGTACTGGTCTGGCAACTCGACGTGCACCTTCCAAACTCCGCCTTCGAAGGGAGCTGTGTCGTTTCACGCATTAAGTCAGCAAGGCGCTATGGCTGGCAGCGGCAAGATTTAGTAAGGAGTGGAGAAAACTGACTTTCCGCAGGTCCCTTGAATCGCACGTAGAACTCTTGCCTGCGTCGAGGAGGCCCGATTAGCCCAAATCCTATCTATCTATGTACGTGGTGGCTCGGCTCACACTAATAAAATACTATGTCAGTCACAGGTTAACTTGGCACGCAAGCTTGGAATCCAACATACTGTTATCGTTGACCAAGGTCACTTCGTAGTCGCTCATGAGCCTGCAGGGGTGATTAGCGAACCGGTCGAGGGCAACTGGGCAGCTTGCGAGAGAGAAAGCATACATCTTCATGACCTATACCCAGATGCGAATTCCAGCATTAGCGAATGTCTAGGATTCATGGCCTTCGGCGAAGATGATCATCCTACATCTGTCTCGATCCGGCGGCGGGGAGACGTCATCTTGACGGTCGCTGATACGATTCGGTATGTTTAGTACTTTCGTGGGAGTCTTTGCCTGAGTCGAAGGCGTTTGGCAAGTAATAAAAGAGCAGAGAGAGGTTGGTTGAAGAGCAGCAGGCGGTGGCGGCGGGCGGAGATTCCGAGACAAACGGAACGAGGGGTTGCAGCAAGTCGTGTTCTATCGGAAAGACCGATAAGCAAGGTAACAAGGTGCCTGGGCAGTATCCGCGATAAGGATGTGTGAGGGTCTGGATTTTGTGTTTCGTTTTGCCTGATGTCTGACTGTTTGAAGCCTTGGAGAGTGCTGGGAATGCAGGCGTTCAATGTAGATGGGAGGGAAAGCGATCACCTTAATGTCCACGAGTCACGACGTCAGGACGGATAAGGTAAGGCCTGGCCAGATTGATTAGGTAGCGTTACCTAAAGCCGGGGAGATGCCGAGCAAGGAGCCAAGGTCCACAGCAAGACCACTCAGCTGGGGACAACTGGTTTTCGGGTGTTTCAGGGCACCCAACCCAACGATGCAAAGACGGGGTTGCAACCAGGCACTGTCGAAGCCGCCAACAATCAATCTGCGTTGAACAAACCACGGCCATTACATGAGACCGATCAATATGCAGCCAGACCTTCCACTGTTCAGGACAGCAGGGGGTGGTTCTTGCAAGTAAGACCCTACCTACCAGGTACTGATTTAGTGCCCGACTTAGGTACTGTTAGGGGCCGATGACGCAAGCTTAAATACAGTACATTATATGCATTGGATGTAGCGTTAAGCAGCTGAACTCATCGGTGGTTCTTTGTGCCCCTTGCTTAATCCGGATACTAGGTACATACATAGTAGGTTGGGGTACATGTAGCTGTCCACGGAGTAGCCACGGAATGAAGCGGGACACCGAATACCTTGGGTATCAGATGCTGCCACCTTGGAAGTCTAAGCTAGGCTGCCCGAGAGAGGGGACTAGGTACTGTACCTAGCTGAAAATATATGTCGTGTGGACATATATACTGTCTGATAAAGAAGATACGGTGCAAGCGGCTCGGAGGCATCTCTCTGCCGAGTTTTAGAGCGTCGGCGGCTGCACCCTCCCGCAACTTCCGGGCTCTCATGGTCTCGTAGAGAGAACCTTCCATAAAGACTCAAGTTACTGGATCAAGCCAATTAGCGAAGGAATCTACCTTAGCTACAGCTGAGAGCCTCAGCCTTGGTTCATCCAGCCTCGATACATACTATATGGACTTACCTTATCTGATGAAAGTGATCAGAGATACCGATATGCTGGGACAAGTGCCCTTTGATCAGGCTGGCGTTGACGGACTGGAGGGCGGATCAGTGCCTCGGCTCCAGATGTATTACAGGCAGCCAATCAGCCAATCAGATCCGAAATCGGCTAACAGAACGTTAGGTCACCTGCAGTGCGGGCCCGGCCTGATCCGTTTTGAGAATGGAACCGTCAAGCTGGGAAATACTCCAGCCAAGACAGTTCATGATACTCAATTCTACGCCGAAAAAACCATCATGACCGGTGAATAAAATGGCGCTTAGTACGCCCCAATCGCGGGTTCCATTCGGTCAATTTTTTCTCTCCTTTTCACTTTTCAAGAGAGCTCCCATTTTCTAGAACTCCGTCAATTTTTCGATTTGTATTGCATCGCATCCCTTAACCCCTGGTCGTTGTGCAGGTCAAGTACCCATGTACCTGTCACCACTTGTAAGGTCGTGTGCCCTCGTTGGGAAGAGCACGCGACCGTCGCAAAGGGTCCTCGGATCTTTGCTCATAGCACATCAACAGGCTAGACGAAGCTCACATTCGCCGATGGGCACACCGCCCACAAATCCGAGGAAGAAGGTCACTGTCGGTAGCCTGCGGGCGATGCACAAAAGGGGTGAGCCAATAACCATGTTGACGGCCCACGACTTCCCTAGTGCTCATGTCGCCGATGCTGCCGGCATGGACATGATCCTGGTTGGGGACAGTCTGGCCATGGTCGCCTTGGGAATGGAGGATACCAACGAGGTCACGCTTGAGGAAATGCTGCTTCACTGCAGGTCCGTCGCGCGCGCCACCAAAGCTGCCTTTACCGTAAGTCTATCTCCTCGTCGGCCATCGCACCCCCTGCCCATCCCCCCAAAACACCCCTCCCCAAAACTTCCTTCTCTATAGTTACCAACCACCTCCCCCATCTAGATTGGCGATCTCCCCATGGGATCATATGAGATATCTCCTGCCCAAGCGCTGGAGACGGCAATCCGGTTCATTAAGGAGGGTCGCGTGCAGGGCGTCAAGTTGGAAGGAGGCAAGGAAATGGCCCCCACCATCGAGAGGATCACAGCCGCCGGCATACCCGTCCTGGGTCACGTAGGCTTGACCCCGCAGCGACAAAATGCGCTCGGCGGCTTCCGCGTCCAGGGGAAGACGGTGGCTAGTGCGACTAAAGTGCTCGAGGATGCTCTCGCCGTCCAGAAAGCGGGTTGCTTTGCTGTGGTGGTAGAAGCCGTCCCTGCCGATGTTGCTGCTATCATCACTCGAAAGCTGTCCATTCCGACAATCGGCATTGGCGCTGGTAATGGTTGCGCCGGCCAAGTCCTCGTCCAGATCGACATGACGGGGAATTTCCCGCCTGGTAGATTCCTCCCCAAGTTCGTTAAGAAGTACGGCGATGTCTGGTCAGAGAGCCTTAGGGCTATCGAAACTTATCGCGACGAAGTGAAAAGCAGGCAATACCCCGGCCCTGAACACACATATCCCATCTCGAAGGAGGAGCTGGAGGCGTTTACCGAAACCGTCAAAGACGTGTCAGCCTGAATGTCAAATCCTCGGGCTGCAATCTGAGCCATGTGCATATGGGCTAAGCGTTTCGTATCTGAGCAGGCAGCGGCGCAGGAGGTATCCTGATAGCATTTTAGCGAATACCATCATGTTAGTCTTATTCATCTCATAAATCAGGACGGTCACAGCGTTGACGGCCCAGCCGAGATCCCGACCCTTGAGAGAAGGTGAGGCAACCGGTGGCTCGCTACCCAAATGCCGGGGTAATGGAGTATGAGACATTGAGGTGGTTGTTTGAGTCCTTGAAACACTGGTGTAGGCTGTCAGCAGCCGGACTTCTTCCAGAGTCGGGGTGAACACACCCTCCATAGATTGCCAACGACCTCATCAAGTGCTGGGGCGAAGGCGCTGTTCACATAGAGAAACACACTCTCAGCCTCGGTGAGTTTGAGAGCTTTTCTCATATAGTTCACAACAAAGTCAAATTTATGTTCGCTGGCGACCTTGACCAGCTCCCGCGGTATCGGAGGCGCCGAGCCCACGGGCTTGAAGCGCACCACGATCTTCTCCTGCGGGAAGGCTCCAGCAGCGGCGAGAGCGGCTGAGGCATCACGAGGCAGTGCCATCAAGACGGTGGACGCATTCATCGTGAGGGGCAGATCTGGAGAGTATCGGCCCTCGAGAACGGGGGATGCGGGCGGCGAGCTGTCTGACGACGGCAACGGCGCGCCCGGCGAGGCAGCCGTGTTTGGCTGAGCTGAGGATGCCATTTGGTTTGTCGGGACCTGGGTGGTGCTTTTGAAATTGCAGACGGAGGACCAACACCGCGGAGGAGAGATGGCTAACCACGGCTAACAACGTCTTCCTGCTGCCACCGTGATATTAAGGTTGCAGTCCGCTCTTGAGCGAAGCTTCGAAGCTAAGGTATGTAGCGCCGAGCCGGAGCGGGTGTGACCGCAGACGATATGGAACCCCGCGATTACAACTTGAACCATTTCGTGTCGGGGTCCACACTGTACGGCTCTGATATCAGGGTTAGGGTCCCTCACGCATCCTCCATCTCGCGAGTGTCGCAATCACAGAGCCAGTCTCGAGCTCAATCCTCTGTGGAAATGGCGTCTTGACATGGTAAACTCTCTAGTGCAGAAATCTTCTTGATGTAGAGTCGGTCGACGGTCATTAGAACTTATTATCCGGACTGGTCTGTGTAGCCAAATCATACTAGTATGCTCTGGGAACCTGCCGGGAACGAGGTCAGCTCCAAGCATGTGCTTTCTAGCGGAAAATGAGAAAACCCGGCTCTTCCCTGCAAGGCCTAGACTTCAGGGTTCTGGGCGAATCTGTAAGGCTGACGGCTACAGCCCAATCACAGCGCGTGTCTCCAGCAGTCACTGCCGCCTTGGCCTGCGGAGCTGGACCCTCGCTAGCCTTTCCCCCAGGCAAAAGTGGCATGATTTCGACTGCAAATGGGCCCAAAATCGAAAGCTTTGCGTCAGAGCACCAAAGACCCTGATTGGCCTCCGGGCACGACCTGCCCTGGAGGCCGTTTTCGAGTGCATTTCCCAAGGTAAAAGTCAGGCCATCGCGACAATTTCTGAGCGGCACCAGTCCAATCGGCTTGCCTCTTGGGTCAGCAGCACTTGCTGTCCTCGGGTCCCATCCCCCCCAACGACCTACACAAGCCATTGCCAGAAGGAAACTGTTAGGTACTGTACAATACATACTGTTTGTGGGCTCAGCGGCACGATACCTTCCCTGGGGATTCAATAAGGTCCCTGAATTGGGTTATGCTAGGTGGTCTGCAGCTGCCTCTCAAGAGTATTTGCGTATTGCTGTTCCTGCTCAAGACACGGGTGTCCTGTTAATCTTCAACCACTTTGGCTTTGGGTTGTCTCTCCTCTCACCCACTGTGTACCTTTACCTTACCTTCCCAACATCTCGAGCCGTTTGTGCACTTGATTTTGCCGGAGCCTCTGGTCTGCGGGACTCAGCATCACGACGTCCGTGGACAATTTTGTCCCCATCTTTCTTTCTCGCCTCTCCGGCCGGTACCCACCTTCTTCTTCGCCTTCGTTTGTGTATCACGTCTCCTGCCCCATCTTACGGTCCCAGGTCCTGCTGCAGCGTTGCAGGACCACGTTCGCTCGCAGTGTACAGTACCACGATAATATCTCGCTCTCTGCCACCCCGTCTGTCGGTCTGTCCTAAGTTTTCCGGTTAGCAAACCTCCTTGGCTGTCCAACCCGGGACTAGGCTCTGCATTGTGCATCCTCCGTCTCTCAGCTTCTCAATAGTGCTCAGGCCGGTTTGATCAGACAATCCTCGATCATCACCCTACATCTCTTGGTTGCTGGCCGTTCTGTTCCCCAGCGTTTTCTGTAATATGCAACCGTCCTCTTAGGAACATAGACCTGCGGCCACTGCCTGGAAAACCCCTGATCCTCGGCTCGGACATCAACACTGTTGCCAAACGGCGTCAGGCAACAATTGGCCGACGGTCTCTCTCAGAGTCCTGCTCGATTTGGGAACATTGTTAGGGGTTGGGTTGTGACCCCTAATTGGCGGCAACTTGGTAGCCTCCCTCGACATATCCCGGGTCTCGGTGTGCTCGTAGCAGAGCGGCGCGTAGTGGTCGATCTCCTTCCTTTGCTTCACTTGGATGCGGAAAGCCGCGGCGGCCGGAAACCTTGAACCCTCGAGAATATTGCCGTCGCGCCCATTGGCTCGCACTAGATTCACACCAGGCGGCATGCGCATAGGCAGTCATGGATCCAGACCCGTTCAGACATCTCGAATTCTTTTCCATGCCCAATAGTCAGGTATGGCCACCCCTAAGTGGAGTGGCCGCGTGCTCTTTCTCACGTTATACAGACAGTTAATCCCGTCGACCAAGCCTTCTTGTCGGCGTCGTCAGCCCCGGCATCCTCAATATGGGATACATCAGGGCTAAATGCTGACGGCGGCCTTGCTGTGTCGCCGTCGACAGTTGCCACGCCTCTATCCCTAGATTCGGCCATCCACCCGTCTCCCTTGAGCGGGTTGACAAGTATGTCACCCAATTTATCTTCGGCATCACGCCCCTCGGCACATGGCGGCCAGCATAGGCCCGTTCTACCCGCTCGCGCACCAAGAAAGAGGGAAGGACACGAGAGGAAACGGTCTCGATTAAGTACAGATTCAACTCCTCTTGATTCTGTTGATTATTGGATCGATTTCGACAAGGACGATAGTCTTGGCAGCATACCTGAAGGTATGGAGGCGCCCAGGCCAGATGTCGAAGGGAAGGACAAATCCCCCACGGCACGCCGGTGAGTGCAGCTCCGCGGTAAAGAATTCGTCTTCAGGCCCCTTGCTGTGCTATGACAGCCGAAACCGTGGCTGACATGTTTCGAGACGCACGAATCCCGCCCCCCAGCCTCCGCCACTGACAAAGGAGGAAGTTGTTGACGATAGTGCGCTGGACAATGCGCTATCGGATGACGACGAGGGATTCTCGTCGCTCAACCTCGCCGACCACCTTTCTAAGATTGACTCCGCACCACCACAGGAGGTCCCACCGCGGGAAGGTCTTTATTCAACGCCGCTAAGCTGGGAAAGACCGCAGCCAGGCGGACGTTTAGACTCGCTGACCGGTCTACACAGTCCAGCCCTAGACGAGGCTGAACAGAGGAGACTAATCGCCATTGCCATGAACCCTGGGCCAAGTATGGGAGGACTTGGAGCAAGTATAAGTTCGAATTTTGGCGGGCTAAGTCCGGGGGTGAATCCGGTGTTTGGAGCCGGCTTAGGGAGCAGCTGCAGCACGACTCAGGGGCCGAAGCCTGTATCACCACCGCAGGCACCAACAGCGCATCCCCGTCCGGCAGGGCCTAATCCTCCGAAACGGCAAGGAAGCATGAGTGAAAAAGGCAAGGAGAAACCGAAGACGGGAGATCGGACGGCACATAACGATATTGAGCGCAAGTATCGGACAAATCTGAAGGACAAGATATCCGAGCTGAGGGATGCGATCCCTTCCCTCAGAACTATTTCAGAGAACGGCGGCGAGGAAGATGGGACACAGCCGTCTAGGGCGCCCAAAGCCAGCAAGGTGTGTTGTTTGGACACCCTTTTTGGCTTAGCAAAAATGTCTAACGAGGTTCTAGGGGACGGTCCTCACAAAAGCAACCGAGTATATACACTGGCTCGAGCGGCGCAACAAACAGATCGCACAGGAACATCGAGAGCTCTCACGGAGACTCCAGGCATTTGAACAACTTCTCAACGCGACAGCACGGTCACAATACACCATGCCGACCTACAGCACGACCTTGTTCGATCCCAGAGGGTTCTGTTAGCCTTGAGCCTCCCTCGGCGCATCTCTTGTACATATCTCTCTTCAATCGCATTCCTTTCTGGGTGCTTCAATTTTACCGCGACTACTTACCGAAACGCCTCGATATTCAGATCCGGTTCCAAGGCCCGTTCGAAAATCTTATTAGCGCCGAGGTTTACCTACCTTATTACATTTCCGTGGGAAACGCATGATGCTAAGGGGATTTCAGGTGGAATCATACCTGACGAGAAAAATCGCATCTCACATCTCCATTTCTGCGGAAGCTCCCTAGAAATGCAGTTGGTGTTGATTGGCTCAGGAAAAGGAAAAACGGAAGCGAATATCTAAGTCATATATCTTCTCCGCTCTATAGACACTAGTGGTTCCCTCGGTGGTGATGCGATGCATGTCTCATACAGGGAATTGATAGAGGCAGATGGAGCGAAAGAAAAGGCTTCATAAAAGCAGTGACGGTTGTGTGGCAATAGGCGAGGTACCAGTCAAATGCATCATCTGGCAGCGTTTTTCCTCACAGAAGTACTAGTAATAACACGATGATTGTACAATACAGACGAGAAAACGCTCACTATCTCAGCGCCTCGATATCCTCCACCTCCTTGACCGCCTCGGTAGTCAGGACAATCGGCCCATCTTCGTCGACGCACACGCTATCCTCTATCCTCACCGCCATGCCCCGGAAGTGGGGCGGAAAGAACTCGTTGTCGGGCACGTACACGCCCGGTTCAATGGTCACGCAATGTCCGGGCCGCAGCGGGACGCCCCGCCCATAGCCCGGCACATCATGCACGTCCAGCCCCACATAATGCCCGACATGGTGCGGGAACAAGACGCCCATGACGTCGGCGCCGCCGCCGCTGCGCTGGTTCATATCAAAGCCCAGCGCGGTGAGCTCCTCGGCCAGGGCGGTCTCGGCGACGCGGTGAATCTCGTCGAGCGAGAGGCCGGCGCTGGCGCGGCAGAGGGCGACGCAGGCGCGCTGCACGCGCAGGACGGCGGTGTACAGGTCGCGTTGCGCCGGAGTGAAGCGGCCGCTGACGGGCCAGGTGCGCGTGATGTCGGTCACGTAGAAGCCGTACTCGCCGCCAGCGTCGACGAGCACCGTCTCCCCCTCACGCAGCAGCGCCGTGTTGTGCACGTAGTGGATCATGCGGCCCCGCCGCCCGCCCGCCACCACGGGCACGTACGCCTCCCCCGAACACCCCTCCTGCGTGAAGGCATGCGAAAGGTAGGCGTGCAGCTCCGTCTCGGATGTCCAGGCCCGCCGCATCGCCGACGTGATCGCCCGCCCTGACACGCGCCCCGCGTGCCGCATGGCGGCGATCTCGGCGGGAGATTTGATGGCTCGGAGGGTGTTGACTAGTGGTTGGAGCGGCGACGTGGAGAGCGAGATGGGCAGAGAGCGGAGGACAAAGCTCAGTGCCGAGGACAGGTTGTGGGTGATGCTGGTGATGCTGCCGCTGGCGGTGGTGGTACCGCTGCCGTCCCCGGGGAGCGGGATGTCGGTGTACACACGGCTGGCATCGCGGAGTAGACGGGGGAGGAGGGAGGTGATTTTGTAGATGTCGCCTGCTTCATCGGCGTTGAAGACGTCCTCGGCTGCCCGTAGCCCGCTCCAGGGTCCTGACCACTGCTCTGCGATGGGGTCCTTGGGCCGGCAGAAGAGGTGGAAGGTGTAGTCGCCCAGCGAGGGGCCTGTCTTGCGAATTACGGCGAGAGAGTTCGGCTCGCAGAATCCGGTGAGGTATAGAAAGTTGGACTCCTGACGGAAGGGGAAGAAGACGGCGCCGGAGCGGTACTTGACCTCAGCCGAGGCCAAGACGGCGACAGCACCCGTCGGCAGGCTGAAAGCGAGTTTGGCGCGGCGATCCGCATATTCTTGGGCTGTGATACCGGGGGTTACTAGAGGTTCCTTTTCAGCCGGTGTCCGTGTGATCCGATGGTGGCCGTGAACAGTGCATACTTTCACCGGCCTTGAGAATGTGAGGGTGAGTTTCGTGAACTGGCTGGCCAAACACTAGCTCGGCTGCCGAGATTGTCGACGGTGAAGGTGCTGATGTATAATTCCGAATCCTTGTTCTCCCTAGCACTGAATTCGTTGGCGCTCGGATACGGCGGTGTAATTGCCGTAAGGCGGCTCGTGGGACGCTCATGCTGTGAATGGATGGTGAATCATGAATTCGTGTCGTGGGAGTTGAAGCTTAGCACATCTTGGAGGGTAGGTAGGGAAGTACTTCGATCCGCCCTAATTTATAGTCACGATTCAATGCTATACTTGTTGTTATATTGTCATAGCTGCAACTTGCTCTGCACTAGGGGAAATGGCCTTAGTTGCGAGTTGAAGGGGTTACTTTAAACTCCGTACATCAAGAAAAATGGTGAATATCTGTCTACAACTTCAACCACTGCATGTTCGATTTTCACAATGGAAGTTACACTCTGCCAAGTGCCAAGCCCCGCTGCCAGTGGCAGCAAGCGTCATAGGTTCCAATTGGGGGGCGTTGCTGTGAGCGACAAGATTAAGCAGCTGGCAACCGCGTCAGTGGAGCCTAGTTTGTTGTGTTGGTCCCCAAAGCAGGAATAGCCGCTGGAGCTGGGCTGTGGTTCTCGTGGTTCTTTGAGCTCTGCGCGACCCGCACACCACCAAAAAGCCTTCTGGGGCCCTAGCACCACTCCTGTCCCTTTCTACACAACTCTCTGTTTGACCTCTCCTGTTATGCGCGACAAAGTTCTGTCCGGTGGGTGCTGAGCAATTGGGCATTGTGCGTGGTACGGCCGACGTTCGATCTCCCTGTTCCTCAGTGCCCTGCGCCGCGAAACCGCTCCAGCGTCGAGACGCGTTTTGGTGCACAAGCTCGCGTGCGCTGTGTGTGGCTAAGTCGCTGCTGCCGCCTCCCGACCCCTCCATCTTCCCGTCCTCCCTCCCGTCCTTCATAGAGCCATCCGCCATCCACGTCGCACATTTGCCCGGTCCCCCTAGATCAACCGGTGTCGCAAGGTGACTGGGCACTTATATGGCAGCATCTGTATTTCCAGCCCCAGCACCCCTCTCTACCATGTCTACGAGGAGGATACCCCTGTCCAGCAACCAAAATGTCGCCAATTCGCCAATGCGAGCCTCTACGGCTGCCCTCCAGGGCACCAAGAAGAGCCGGTCTCATGCAGATATGCTGCGAGAAGAGCCCTATGGCCAACCTCCGCCGGCCAAGCGTCAGATGATCGAGCGTTCTGTGGCCTCGCCGACGCGGACCAAAACTACCAGGACCATTGTTCACCGAGTCGCTTCCCGAGCAACAGTAGGCGCCGGCACTACTGCTAGCACGACACAACGACCGTCGCAAAGCACCGTGTATAAGCCAACCGAGGAGGAGCTCATGAACCTACGCCAATGGCATACTCAGATCCGCGCCAGGTTCCCCAAGATGGTGTTCTACTTCGAGAGCATACCGGATGATGTTCGCTCAAAGCTTGCGAAGCAAGTTGGCAGGCTCGGTGCTGTGAGTAGAATTGAGCGTGTCTTGCTACTCAAGTTCATGGGCTTACCGATACATCCCACAGCGCGAGGAGAAGTTCTTCTCAATTGATATCACCCATGTCGTCACGACCCGGCCAATTCCCTCGGAGAAAGCGCCGCAGGATCAGGATGAGGCTTCTGCCGTCACGCAATCAGAACAACCCCAGACAATTGATCCTTCGCTTTTGAACCGCACCAGGGATTTGACTACATCGAGCACAAGCTCTGCTAGGCGAAAGCTAGTGTACGATACGCCTTCGTCACGAAGGGTGCCGGCCCATGATCAGGATGACGCCATCAAGCGGCCCAAAGCACGCAGCACGGATGTCTTACACCGCGCTCGCGACATGGGCAAAAGGATATGGTCCCTGGAAAAGCTCCAGAAGATCCTGGAAATGGCATTGGAGCCGGATCCATATGTGCGGGCTGCGTTAGGTCTTGGTCGTGACAACGTACAGAACGCCAGCAAAGCCAGCGAGAAATCCAATCTTCTGCAGCTTCTGCACAATGAGCGTGTTCACGGTCCCTCTGATCGTGACCCTACGGTCTCAAACAAGGACCTCTACTACTTCAAGGGGCCCTATATCTATGTGTACGACATTGAAGAGAAGACAAAGCCCATTATGGTCCGGGAATATCCAAAGGTGTCCGACTCCAAAGATGGAGAGTGGCCGCAGTTCCGCATCGTGTCGCAGGGCCGGTGCCCCTTTGTTTTGGAGGATCCCGATCTTCCAGAAAGGGGTAACCGGGAGGAGACACGAGCCAGGGGCCGAGCTGTCAAAGAGGGTGAAGACACTGGCCCGCCGAAAACGAAGCCCGCTGATAAACCAACGGTGCAGCCAAAGCCTACCGCGAGCAAGCGCACTCTCGCGCAGATGGAGGATGGGAACAATCAAGGAGCCCCGAATGTGCGTGCCACTGAGCCTTTTGACAGGTCCAGGGTCTCGAATCCGCCGTCACTGGAGTTCCGCACGCAGAATGCCTTTATGAGCCATGCAAAAGTGGGCCGCTTCGTGGCCGGCGAGCCTGTGGCATCCGGAGTGCAGCCATCCAATGTTACGTCTGCGATCCGATCACAGATGATATCATCCACCACCGGCGGTTTAGGAGCGAAGGCAGGCACGAGTAAGGAGATACACGGCCTTCAGCGGAAAGTTATTCTGCAAAAGGCCAGCACGCCGGCATTATCCCAAGATCTCAGCTCTCGACGAATGGCCGAGATGAGCCACGACAGCACCATGAATCCCCGATCTGCCAGCGCCAGCAGAGTTGTGCAACAGAAACTCAGCACAGTCGATGAAGAGGCGGCCGCCAGACATCGAGAAACGCTGCAGAGGACCACAACTGTCGCTGCCGCTAAGCCCAAGCAGAAGAAGCGCGATCCTAAGCCCGGTTACTGCGAAAACTGCCAGGACAAGTTTGCGGACTTTGACGAGGTTGGTTGATATCAATCCTCGTGTAACATTAGTCAGCTAACAGTATCACAGCACATCATCTCCCGCAAGCATCGCAGGTTCGCGGAAAATGACGAGAATTGGGCGCAGCTGGATGCACTTCTGTGTCAGCTCGAGCGGGCTCCCCGAAACTATTGTGATTACCAATAAAGCCACCTTCGGTCTCGATGATCCCGCCTCGCTCGATTCTTTTTGATCACCCTGGCGCTATATACTGCCAGCGTTCCCTGCTTCTTTGGTCAGAAGCATTAGGGAGCTCCCGCTTGGTGCTCTTGGTCTGCTCCTTCGCATACCCTGGGATATACCTTGCTGTTTTTCTCCGCCTCCTCTGCCTTATGGCTTGTAACCCAGGACCGGCAGCTTCCACATCTAGCGGCATCTAGCGGCATCGCATTGGTGGTTGATCTGGCCCATGAGGCCCATATTTCAGGCATTACTTCGGCGTGGGCGTTGATGACTTGGGCCGGCATTCTGCTTGTTTCCTAACGACACTTTGTCCTGAATCTTCTTTCGCATGTTGCGGCAGCCATTTTGGGGGGGTTTTGAACCCGCTCAGCGCAAGGAGCAGCTGGAGGCATCGAGTTATCAAGCGTCAGGGGTGAGGGTGGAGCGGGAGCGCGAATTTACTTGGGGCGGGGCTGGTTATATGGGCTCAGTGTAGTGTCTGCACAGGTTGTCGGAATACCTATGTCTGGTTCATGGACGAACTGAGCGGCGGAGGTTGTCAGTGTGGTGCCACGGTGATGCGTGGCCGATATACCTACCGCAGACTATTTATGCACAATGCATGTGTATACTGTATGTTAGGATTATAAGAAAGTTTACCTGGATGGATCCGCGTCGGGTCCGTTAATGACTCTGGCTGATCTGTCCTTCAAAATGGCGTGTGGAATCCTGGATAGATGATGGTCAGGCACAGCTTCCTTAAGCCATCATGCCGTTTAAGCCTTCTCCACACATATCAGCTCATCCTCTAGGTTGCTCTTGCCCAAGGAAGCATCCTCTTCTACAGGGAAGGGACCCGCCGCGTCTTGAACTCGACAGCAGCTGCGCAGCTGCCGCTGGTCATGGCTGACCACGGCCGCTCGTCTCCTACATCATTCTCCCCAACTCCTAATAAGAATTCACTCCTGTTACCTACCTCCCGAGTCGTTCCAAAGACAGAACCCAGCATTCTTAACCCTGTCTACCGGTACTTCTTAGAATACCCGAACTGATCACTATCCTGGCTGTTTCGCTGCATACCGTAGTCTCTGGGAACCGCAACTTCAGCACCCCTTTTGGGACATACTCCCGCAATGGAGCAGCCCGGGTTCTTCAAGCGTAACTGGCAAATCTTGACACCACCACACGGGCCCGTCAAGTCGGAAACTCCACTCAAATTTGGCATCCTGGGAGTGGGCAACATCGCGTGCGTCTCGTTCCGTGCTGCTGTGTCCCAGAGCTCACGCGCTGTGCAGGTTGACGACTCTGATCCGCCCTGCAAGCCTTCACCCTGAAGTAACCGTCGAGGCTGTTGCTGCTCGGGACAAGACAAAAGCTGAGGAATTTGCCAAAGAACACGGTATTCCCAAGGTGTTTGAGAGCTACCTTGGTGGGTAGACCCACATTGTTCCCTTCAACCTGGAGTGAGTCTAACCCAGCTGACGTACCAAGACCTAATCCAGGACCCCTCTATCGACGCCGTCTACATCACCCTCTCAAATGACCTCCATCTGGAATGGGCCCTGCGTTCCCTCGCCGCTGGGAAACACGTGCTTCTCGAAAAGCCGTCTGTCTCCAACGCCACCGAAGCCGAGCTGCTTTTCCGCTCCCCCCTGCTCCGGGCCCCAAACGCTCCTGTCCTGCTCGAGGCCTTCCACTACCGCTTTGAGCCCTATTGGACGGCCTTCCTGGCCCTCCTTGACAAGCCAAACGTCACCCGTGCAAAGGTTACCATGAACGTTCCCCAATCCTTCACTGACAAGAAGGATCTCCAATTCCGTTATGAAGTGTCAGGGGGCGCGCTCATGGACCTGACGTATTCCATCTCGCTCCTCAGGGATATCTTCGGCGCCGAGCCCTTACAGTGCACGAGCTGCAAGGTGAAGAGGATGCTTCCGCCGTCCGACGAGCTCTGCGATTACGGCTACGACGCAACCTGGCTGTTTCCGAACGGAGGTGTAGGGAGGGCTGCGGAGGTCCTAAAAGGCACCATGGGGTGGACGCTGCGAACCTCGTTGTTTGAGGAGGAAGCTTGGGCTAGTGAGGCGCCAGACGATCCCGAGCGTGGAGCGCCGATGGGGCACGCCAGCGTCATGCACCGGGAAATGGTGCTGCCGGACGAGAGTCTGCCTGAGGAGCAGGAAAAGGTCATGACCAGGGAAGTGAGAATGAGCAATTACATCTGGGGATGCATCTGGCACCGGATCGACGTCGACGATTGGTACATTGTGCGCAACAAGGCGGATGGTACGGTGGTCAAGAGGTGGGTGGAGCGGGGGACAAAGAAAGCGTATACCTTGCGGGAGGCGGGGATTGACCGGGATTCGGAGCCGTACTGGATGTCGTACAAGTACCAGCTCGATGAGTTCGTCAACCGCGTGCGTGGACGCGATGGGACGGGCGTCTGGGTCAGTGGCGAGGACAGCATCAACCAGATGAAAATGATCGATATGGCCTACGAGAAGGCGGGGCTGCCAGTGCGGCCGACAACCACTTTCAGGTTGGATCTGTCAGGGGGTGATGACTGAGGTGCCTCTTTGTAGAGATGTCGATGTGTGGTTCTGCGGAAGCACTCCCCCGAGTTTTCCTTACCTAGTAGCAGTACTCTCTTAGGCTTAGAGATTGAACCAGCATCAGTAGTGTCATAGAGTTAGCCTTGACATCAGTTCGCGTGGTACAATAATTGGAAACGCCGAATGAGTGTTGACTTTTGAGTTCACTGTTTACCCATTGAGGAATGAAGATCATGTCAGCAACCACAATACTTAAGATCCCTTCCCAAGGGGACCCAGGATTCCCCCTTCTCTAGGTCAGTGCTCCATCAGAGCCCACAGTGTCCCGGTTGAAGCTAGCAACAGAGTAGAGCAGACCAAAAACACTCTCCCGTAGGTGTCACCGCCCCCGGTAAACAACAGCGACACAACCACAAAGATATTCAGGGGTATCCTCAACATCGCATACACCTGAGCGCGGACTCCGTCTTCAATGAGCTTCCCTTTCAGAAAGCCCATGCACGGCCAGTACATGCCCACGGCAGCCTCAAAAAAGCAGAAGACCCAGAAGGCGGACTGCTCGGAAAGGGGACTGCTCGACAGCAAGAAGCAGACGGCTGAGGTACCCATGATGGCCACGAGTAAGCTGGAATGGTCTATCAGCCGCCACTCGGTAATCATGTTGAAGGCCAGAGATGAAGCGAGGGTGGCGGCCATAAAGCTGGAGAAGATGATGCCGTAAGGAAGCTCGCCCTGGGAGGAGTGTACCGACTTGAGAGCCGGTGTCCAGAAGAAGACGAACAGGTACATAGATCCTTCAAAAACGGTTGAGGCGGCGCCCAGGGCGAGAACCCGTGGATTGGATAGAATAGTCCACAGCTTGTTCTTTGCTGTGTTGTCCTTCTTTTTGCCGGCTTGCTCTCCGCCTTTCTGGCCGTAGTTTTCTTCCTGGTCACATTTAGCGATAGCCCCTTTTCACCGATCAACGACCCGATCACCCCTCCCCCCTTTTCCACCAAGTGGGGAAGCAAGCCCGGGATACGGAAACTCACCCAGCTCGCCGCAATCACCACCGCAGCCAGGCCCAGCACCCCTATAGCCGCCCAAAACGGCGCCTTCCTCGTCCCCGTCAACCCAACTATGGCCTCGCTGGCTACGCCGCAGACGATTGCCACGAGGCTATTTAGACTGCTCATCATGCCAAATACCCTGCCCATCTCCTCTTCCTCGCCGTCCCCCAATCCCTCACCAGCACCGCCATCACCACCATCAACCCTCTCCCCTTTCGCACCCCGCGCCATCCCAGCAGACAGTGACTGCACTTGCACACGCAAATCGCCGACAAACCAGCTGTCAAACGCACAAAACAACAAGCCCGTCCCGACCCCGCCCAGCACCCGGCCGAGCACCAACCCAGCCAGCCCTACTCCTCCGAACCAGGGAGCAATACTAGTAGTGGTGGTGGTGAAGAAACACGAGAGGGCGTAGACTGCACAAAACCCCATGCAGGCCCGCTTCCGGCCGTACCGGTCGGCCCACGAGCCGATAAAGGCGCCGCTCACGGCTGAGGCGACAAAGCCCGTCGCGAACAGCAGGGGGATCACGGCGGGCTTCACGTGGTGCTCGTCGCGGTACAGGGCGTACAGGTAGGCGCCCTGCAACCAGTCCGAGGCGGCTGCCAGGGCGTAGGCGGTCAGGAACGGGGTGGCGTTGTATGTGTACTTGTGTCTGTGCTGCTGCTTGGGCTGCTCCTTTGGGTTGTTGCGTCCATCTTGCTCTTTGCGGGTGTTGTTACTATGACTACTAGTAGTGGTAGTAGTACTTGGTGTGCTGGTTTCGGAGGTTTTGCTGCGGCTGCGGTGCTGGTGCTGGATGAGGAAGAGCGATGCGCATAGGGTTAGGAGGAGGACAAGGTTGAGGGTGTAGAGATCTACAGCCATGGCTGGCGCTTTTGGATTCGGAATGGTTTAGCGACGGGGATTGGGAAAGGAGGGTTATCGTCAGTACTCGGTAGTGGTGAGAAACGGACGGGGGATTGTCGATGTCTATTAGCCACAAGGATGAAAAGCTCCGGTGATGTTTTCCGAAATGCGAACAAAAAAAAACAAGTGGCCTTTACTTTGCCTCTTCCTTCCAATTACCCGACTCGGACTGTCTGCGACATTCTGTGTTTGAGGTCCCTCGAGCAAGCCACAATGTGTGTAACTTAGGTAACCATCCTTTGCTTCGTTCGAACTAAGTAAGCAGTTTCTGGGATGATACTATTTCTGTTGACATGTCAATCTCGCCAAGGCTCAGAGTTTGGACAATCGACCTCTACCTCTACCTCTACATCTTTTTGGCCTTGTTTTTCTTATTGTCATCCAACTTCCTTTTGATGCTGTCCACAATCTTTCGACTGTGAGCTTGCGGGCATATTCCGCATCTTGCATCCATTTCTTGCACGGTCAGGTTCGAATGCCTACCTTAGTACGGAGGTATTTTACCCAACAGTGAAATCCTACCTCGAGACTTCGCCATGTCCCTGCTGCCCATCGCAGTGGGAGTGCAATCCAAGGCAACCGAGCGCACGAGCATTCTGAGACGGCAAAAACAGCAGCAGTTCATGATCAGTGTTGCCCGTCGAGTCTCACGCGTCCTTGCTCCCACAACAAGCGCATCCATGGCGGGGAAGGTGTTCAGCTTGATGCGGGGAAGAATGTATCCGGGAATCTGTCGTGTGCAAAATGTCACGCGTGCTGGGACCTGCAGCTTCATCGACATACGCCAAGTACGCCCGCCCATCCAACTTCGGATCCAAACAAGAAACATGATTTGCAATGCCAGTGCTCTCATCGACACAGTCCTGTGTTAGCGGCACTCGAGCGGCACAAGTGTGTGGAAAGGAGGGTGGTAATGAAGGATCAGGCAGCATGTCTAGTGCCGGTGTGCGCGAGTCTGCAGTCTTCGTCAGCCAAAAGAACGACACCGTCTTCTGGTGTAGATCGACTAGTTGGAGAGTAGCTTGGGCATGACGATGGAAATCCTCTTCCGGTGAGATTGAGCTCTGTTGGGAGGCCGCCTGCTCCAAAGTCTTGGTCCGATTCCCGGCCCCTGCTGGGAGCCACGCCATGACGTCGGAACGCCCCTTGACCGTGGGGGTGGTCGTCCGAGTCGTCTTACAGATTATTCAGGGGTTTGACCAAGGTCCGTACGGAGGTACCTCCGTACAGTATACATACCGTAACCTGGTACTGTATGTACATACGGCACAGACTCACCGCATACCCCCAAAGCTTCCTTCCGGACTGGTTTTCCCAATAGATCGTAGCTCTACACCACATACCAACTTAAGTGTGCATACACTACTAGTAGCCAAGACACCCTGCTGAAGCTTTCTCGACAGTACCCCTCTTGCAGCCTTCGGTTGCGACGTTAGGAGCCGGCCCGGGAAACCCATTCCGGGCGGTCGCGGTGAGGCCGGCTCTCCGAGTCCCCTTGCCGGCCGTGAGTCGGCAAGTGCTGACGGATTCGCCGCCCCCACACGGTCAACGATCAAGGAAGAATCGGCCCACCTTGTCTAGCATACTCGGTTTTTTGCTAACTCGAGGCCTGCCAATGACCAACTCTTTACGTCTGCCCGCTCGAGGTCTATTAGTGTGAAATGGACCCGGGTCCGGCGCAGTCCCGATACTGACCACGGAATGATAGTGCCAAGTTGCCTCCGTGTGAAGCCACCACCGGGCTTGTAAACCCAAGGGACCGAGGAGAGGGGAGCAACGGCGATGGATAACCTCGTGTGTCCGCGGAAAAGCCTGACGGTCCGGCACGCCAGGGACACAAACAGGAAGGGGAACGCCCTCGCCCCGGGCGCCTGTGCAATTGGCAGCCCCCTTCCCCGCTCATCGATGTGGATGCAACTATGACAAAAGTGTTTCCATTTTTCGTTTAGCTCCCGCTCTCCCGCTCAAGAGTCTGCAGTAGCTGGCCAGCTATGCAGTGTCCTGACAAGGTACGCTGTACGACAGTGGAGCGTCCTGCGAAAAGATGCCAGTTTTTACACGACTCGTGACGGCTTCCCGCAGCCTGATTCATTGCAGCTGCATCAGGCTGGCTTAGGCCCGTGTGCTTTTGGTGTCGAGCATCCAATGACTCCTGCGTCGTAAAACTGGCGGTGTACAAAATAGCATGCTACCTAATGCCCTGGCCCTATATGACAGCGGGAGAGCTGTGCTTCATTCCACCGAGGTTTCCTGTGGGTTCAATAAGTGGATTTGCCCGTGGGGGTTGCCGGAGCCAAAGTCGGTCGGGCGGTGTCGGGTCTGGGCTTCATCTAGGAAGCACACACTGTGTGTATGTTCCGATCGACTCCCGCCTTGCAGGGTACCGGTCGCTTGGGCTTGCTGTGCGGGGACGGAAAGTTCGACATGCGAGCAACTGCTGGTACGGGAGCCGGGGCGGCGCAGTGGAACGTCAACCTGCTCGAAGCCCACAAAAACCGGAGCAGCACCGAGTTATGTTAGCAAACCCTTACATAATTTTCACGCTTGATTGATGCTTTGCAGAACCACTCCTTCTTCGGCTCGTACGAAAATCGGATAGCCGCTCTGCGTTATTGAGCGAGTAATTGCCGCGTGGTCCAGATTCGAAGTCCCCAACTCAGTCAATTTCGGATCGCTATGTTATACATGGCGCACCAACGCCCGCCATTACCGCCGGGGTAGTAACTTTTAGTCACAGAGATCCGATGACGATGAAAACGAGTGGAGCGGTCTTTGATGGGAGCTTTTCGAAGTGGCGAACCTTACGGCTCATGGCTTTGAAACTGGAACGGTGTCGGGGCAACGGAGAGTCGAGCCGGATCTGAGTATCTGGTGCCTAGAAATATCCAGACTCATGGAGCAGAAACCTTCGCTGATGGTCGGATTCAGGGACAGGCGGCTTCGGACGCTGGCTCGTTCCTTACCCGTGTATCCTTCCTTTCGGATGGTCGTTCGGCGGGGCGAACCTCCGGAGGGCATCTTGAGAGAACTTCAAAGCAGGACAAAACCAGGGCAGGCTTTCCCTGCGTCCTAGGAATCTACCGGGCAGCGGCTGTGTCGAACAACGTCGAATCTTCCAGCCCGGTTCGGGGTAATGGTGTTCATTCGGGCAGAGCGCGGGACCTTGCTGGGTCAAATATCTGCTGTTGAACCCGAGGCCAGCCAAGCAGTTCGTTGGCCACGTGGGAGTGGCTGCCTCCCATTCAGAGAGACCTGGCAAAAGTTGTTGGGCTTTCGTCTCACATCCAATGATTTCCGCCCGGCTTGCTAAACCCATGGTCAGCGCTTGGTAGCACGAACCACCTGCTGCCGTGGAGAGAGGGGAATCCCTGAACCCAAGCAGCCGCGAACCCTCCTCTTGGGTTGCCTCTATACCCTCATTGGTTGTGCTCGTGCGGGGAGAGCGAAGGGGAGGCTATTGATCCCTAGTTACAGGCATTGTTCTTCCTGTGGCTGTTCATCGATCTGGCCAAGTGCATGCGGCTATGCAACGAGTTCGTTCTCGGCAGGGGCCACGCCTTGGTAACGGCGATTTGGTTGATCGAGCCAGATCTCCGGGGTTCCAATTCTGGATCCGATCTTTCCTGTTGTTTTAATTCTCCAATTGGCCGATTCAAGACATGATTTTGACCGCATTCCAAGCGCGTCAAGGCAATCGGACCCCATATTTTCGAGAGGCAACCTAGATAGTTGCAATTAGCATCCATCAAGCGTCCACATATCTCGCCAGAAATTTTCAGTAACTAGAGTATAGCCAGTGCCTTAAGAGAGGTGATGTGAGCTTGTTATCTGCACCGGGGCCTGACGTTACGGGGTATGGATAGCTAGCACCATAAGGAAATTCGTGAAATCAAGCCAAGATGAGATCAGAATCCAAGGAGAGACAGAGAAACGTAAGCGGTGTTGAAAGATCTCGATCTGTTGCTCGCAGAAGCAAGCGATCTGACCAATTCAATTGGTGGAGTTTTTCCGAGATATGGGTGTAGTGAAAGGAATTTTGCTGGCCCCGTGGCTTGATTACGTACAAGTGCCGTCTCCAGGATCAACAGGTGAATGCCGGACAGGAGCCGCACTTTGGCAATCGTGTTGGTGGCCGAGATCTGCCAGATCTTGCCCGTGACTCGGCGCGGAGTGTGGACAGTGGACAGAACTCGAACTTGGTCAGAACTGAACTCGAACTTGAACAGGACAGTATGAATTGTATTACTCATACGGTGCTTGGGGGGATCGGAGACAGCGTGGGGGTTAGCAGAATAAAGCGGGTACCTCCGTGCAAATACTCCGTAATCAAACCTCAAATTAACTTGCGCTCATGTGCGTTGCTTATTGAACAAATCTGTCTGCATACGAAAAGCAAGGGCAGACCGAGCATCCACTTAAAACTTGTTCAAAGTTTTAACCACGGATAGTTGCTCCACGACTGCCGCATATTGACTACGGTTGTTCCAAGGCTCATAGGAATACATACAGATGTACATATCATCAGTTCTATTACAAGGGAGACGCGTAACGATACATACAAATACACTACTGTAATCACTGTGTATGCCTCTCGATCGGTTCGTTAGCCGGACCTGGTCACGCGAGCTTGCCATGCAATTCCCCGCGAATCAAGTGGGGTGTCAAGGCTCATAGATGGTCTTGTATACGGTGCCTAACCCACGGTATATGTATGTAAGGTACTATACACGATTCGCCAGAGTCCCTTTACGAAGTACTGCACATACAGCACCCAATTACAACTCCACCAAGCCTGCAAATGGAGTCTTCTAATGAGCGTAGCCGACGATGAAAGGATAAGGTAGGTTGATACCTGCAATCATTCACCAGAACTTGTAATTGATGACATTCCTTCCGGCTGAAAAGAAAACGATTCCGTTGCTCTCCAGGAGAGTTGACACGAGTGTCGCAAGCAACGGCGCAGATGTGTACCGTGGTAAACACTGTAATACACAGTATGGTACACACAGAAGCGTACCTATGTATGTACAGTACAAGAGTGAGCTGCGCACTAGTTGGGTACTTGTACCGCTGGCACCGATCCCCCACCGATTTCCCGTTTCGACCCAGACCCGAGCTGCCGGAACCTGTAATATTTAAACACACTTGAACATTGCGGCGGAAGTGTGCACTGACCAGTTTTGGGGATAACCAGGAGGCAGCAGAACCTGGAAGGAAAGAACGAGACATGTTGCAAACCAGGAAACGTTTTCCACTACGTACGTACATACAGGCAGTCCTCGGTCCGCCTTTCTGCAACTTTACAGTGGAAGTGGGCTGATCTTCGTGGTTGCCCACATTGCACTTACCCCTCACCCCTCCCTGCAAGTCGGCTCATTGCACTCCACATCTTGAAAGCCTCTCGCGACCCGATCGTAGGTGGATCGTGAATCGCCCAACCTTTCATTCAATCCCATCTTGTGCCGTTGGAGGCAGCAAGCAACCCAGAAGACCCCGAGACAACATGTCATTCCACCTTGCAGTCCGCTAGCTGAAGGTAACGTCAGCCAACTCTAGACACATATATCGATGCAGGACCGCTCGGAAGGAAGCCTCGAAGGAGGCTGAGTGGTCGGAAATCCTGACGGAGACGGTGTCAGGTGCCCCTCCAATGGCCCCTCACTAGCCCTCCATGCGCATCGCTGCCTCCCAATTTCCCCGAAATCAGCCAGTCGCAGACAGCAAGATGCTGCTGCTGCGGATACTACACGCCTACTCGACGTCGTTGTTGGCACCAGATGGGCCGCTCGTCCTGGGATCCCATCGCATGTCACCGTGTCATCAGACAATACGCCAGCGGGAAACCCCCAGAGCAGAACCCCAAAATGCTCTGTTGTGAAACTGATCGTCTCAGCTAAAGTTGTGCTAAACCCCGAATATCCAGACGATATACCGAAACGGGATATTCCCACGAGTGCCGAGCTGACCTGAATATCAGCAGGGTGCTGCTCGCTTGCCATTTTTGCCCTTTGCCAACAGCCAACACGTTTCCGAAGGAACGGCCATTCCCGGAATGGCAATGCAATTGGCCACGCCCGAAGACCTGCAAGAAATCGGGCACCGTATCCGTGGTTGAGCCTCTTCAAGAGTCACCTCACTACCGCTGGGCAAGTGAGGCAAAACAAGAGGGACGCCGCCAGCAAGGGCAAGGCGATGCTGCTACCTAGCGTATCCAATCAAACAAGCTCGCCGGTTTCTGTGGCGTTTTGAAGAATTTCCAGAGCTAGCAACGGGCTCTGTTTAGGGGTTTCTTATTCCTCCGCCAACAGATATCTGCACAACATGGCACCGCTTATTAGGCTATTGAATGAGACGGCTGTGTTTTGCATGGAAGACTAACTTAACCAGAAACATCTACACTACTCGGCCACTCTGCAGATCGATGCTTCCGCCACAATGTCTCGGTACTGGGGATCGGTGCACGGCAACGACCCTCCTCGTATGTGCGACTCTCATCAAAAAGGGGGACGATATAGCGTTGCCGTACGTAACTACAGCACCTTAGCTCGCAGACGGCCTAGTGTCGGCCGGACGCACAGCAGCCACCTGATCATCATATGAACGTTCAACTACACTACACTAGCCTGCTCACTGTCTACTATGGAAACGGCACGGGGTCAACCATTTCTTCGACGCATAATCGACCAGCTAGACCCTTGCTACCGCTCTAGGCGATGCCTTTATCCTTGCAAATGCATATGGCAGACGTTCAATGCAGTACAGGCCGGTTGGGTATGAAACTGCATTCTGCAAGGCTCACCGTATGCATTGCCTGCCGCCTTGCTTCTGGAGGTAATAAACTAATTAGGCAAAGTCCACAATCCAATGAACCTGCAAGACGATATCCCGACGAATAGTTGACTAATTAATCAAGGAGCCAGAAAAGTAGTTACTTCCCTACCAGTCTAGCACGGAATGAGTACTAAGGGGATTAGGCACTTGAGCAAGCCTATGTCCATCGACATGATATTCGGACCAGCGTGATTTGTACTTCGTACAGTACATGTATGAACAAGACAAGCTGCGTACTCCGTACGTCGTCTAATTTATCAATTAATTATTTCTACCCCCACACACGGAACCCACAAATTCCTCGCCCTGGTTCTGGATCATGTCCCTGTCCCGACAGACTCAGAGGAACTGAACCCCAGATTTGCTTGTGGCCTAGGCGGTTTTGAGCGCGCGCACTGTGCGCAGGTCCTTGCTCGCCAAGGATCCCATACTGATCCCTGTCTGTACAGGAGTGGGCGCTGTGCTCTCACCCTACACAAATCATGGCAGTTCTTTTCGCCCTCCCGTCATCGTTACTACACGTACCGATGTACGCAGTACACATGTACAACACAGAATTCGGCTTGCCATGATTTCTATGTATGTACATGCATACATCCATAACTCAGGGATTGTGCAACGCCGCGCCATCCTCGGCCCAAGTCTTCAGCGAGTCGGCGGATGCTAGGGTATCCCATGATGACAGGAGAAAAAGAAACCCACTCTGTCACTCACGCTGGCACTTCGGGCATCAATCCATCCATTCCTTGCCATGGACTTGCCTTTGCCATACCCTGTCTTGTCTAACTTGTCCTCCTGGAACATAGATAGCCAGCCCATTCGCTTCATCAGCCACTACGTCTCCCATGCATCTGCTCGTGTATACAAATAGCCTTGCTTCCCCCGAGTCTACCGGGCTCCCCTTTGCAATCCGTCCACATCCCAAACCCCCTTAGTCCCTACGTCTATTCATAACTTCGCCCACCTCTGTTGGCACATTGAACAAGTTCTGTTCTCGCACCCAGTTTCCTCTCCCCGCCATGTCTCCCCATAACGATGCTCCCTCACCCAGCGGTAGCTTTACTTCTGGCTTCAACCGACTCTCATTCCGCTCCATGTCTACCTCAAGACTCATGACGGGACCCTTGAGCACGACGGAACCTCACTCGCCGCTCAGCAGCTCTTACAGCAGCGCCTCGGAGACGTCAGACTTCCTCATGAGCCGGCCGCTTGTCCCCGGGGTCTATGTGCCGACCATGTGTTTCTTCGAGGAGGGAACCGAAGAAGTTGACACGGAGACGATTGAACGGCATGCCGTACGACTAGCCCGCGCCGGCGTAACCGGCCTAGCTACGCAGGGCTCCAACGGCGAGGCGGTCCATCTTACACACAGAGAGAGACAGCTGGTTACGGCAGTCACGCGCAAGGCGCTCAACAGCGCAGGCTTTTCACATATGCCAATCATCGTCGGTTGCGGCTCCCAGAGCACAAGGGAGACGATCCAGCTGTGTCGCGAAGCGTGGGAGGCTGGCGGCGACTATGCGCTCGTCCTGCCACCCTCATATTATGCTTCGCTATTTGCTCCCGCGTCCGAGACAGTCATCGAGTACTTCACCGCTGTAGCGGACGCCTCGCCAATTCCAATCATCATCTACAACTTCCCGGGCGCTGTGGGCGGGCTCGACCTCTCTTCGGACGTCATTATTCGGCTCTCTGAGCATCCCAATATTGTGGGCGTGAAGCTCACATGCGGCAACACGGGAAAGCTGAACCGCGTCGCCACGGCCACACGGAAAATGTCCAAGAGCTACGACCCCGCCCGACCCGAGTTCCTAGTCCTCGCGGGCTCTGCCGACTTCACCATTCAGTCATTGGTCGCTGGCGGCCACGGCATCCTGGCCGGACTCGCCAACATCGCCCCCAAGGCATGCATCAAGACTATGGAGCTCTACAACCAGGGCAAAGTTGCCGAGGCTCAGCAAATGCAGGAGATCGTTGCCCAGGGTGACTGGACTGCCATTCAAGGCGGGGTAGTGGGAGTCAAAGCCGGCCTGCAGGCTTGGATGGGCTATGGCGGCTACGCGAGAAGTCCGTTACCCAAGCCGAGCGCGGACCAGGAAAGGAAATGGAAGGAGGGCTTCAGGGACCTGTTCATGCTGGAGAAGTCTTTATGATTGTTGCTTGGCATGCGTGAGTGGACAGGAAGCCGGCGGACTATCAGAAATTGAGCTCGGGGAACACATTTGAACACCAGTCCGTCATTAATGCGAGGCAAGGGGTTGCGTTTAAAGCCTGACTTTACTTTGGGAATTGGAGATGGCATAGAGGAAGCTTCCCCGCTTGGAAGGGGTACACAACCTTGTTTCGGCGTTTTTCCTTGGTCCGGTGCCTTTTCCTTAGGAGTGTGGTACGGGAAAGAGGCGGAAAAGCGAGATAGAGATGTCTCTCGGCGTTCTAAAAAACGGAAGGTACGGAAAGGGTTTGCTTGTGGTATCTTCATGTAGTTTCTCATAGTCCTTTTGCCTTGGTACGACTCAACGAGAAGCTGTCTCTTGCCTTTGGCCACATCCTCTCTCGCTTCTTGCTACAACAATGTTCGTTTCATGATGTTGAATCTTATTCACACAATTCCCTTGCTGGACTCCTTGACGAATATCGCTTCTTTGCCTCTGGGCACCGTCTACAAACGCAAATCGACTTTCACCATGGCAGACGCAGCCGGTGACCAGTCCCTACAGGCAAGCAATGGCTTTCAGAGAGCCGTGATACCAGTCTCTCACTCTCCGTCTCCCCTCCTCCTCCCGCATGGCATTAGGTCCAGACCGCCACAGTTGCGATCTTTGGGTAGCATCACAGCTACCCCAGATCGCTTGCGGGAGGCTCTCTCAGGCTCTCGACAAGTCAACGCAGCAAAGAGGTACCCTCACTGTCTCATTTCTGTGAATCACGATCAAACAATTACCCCTCTTTCTGCAGAGGCTTGTTCTGCAAAACATTCACAGGGGACCACCCACTGCCCCGAAGAGTCCACAAGATTTCATCGCCGGCCTCGGCCCCTTCAGGTTGAGATGCAATGGAATTCCCGCCGTTTAGGGCGCCCGTTTGTCTAGTGTAACTCAGCTGGCTGCACGATGCTGGTTCCGCGGTTCAGCCACTTTGCGCTGATACGGTAGGTGGCGTTGCCACGTATCGACTCGTAGTGCCCATATGGAGTAGGGAAACGGTAGTGTTGGCCTGTAATTAATTACTCGGTCCCCGGGACCAGCCCCGGTTGCACACATAGAAAGCCAAAAGCCACACAGGCAAGGGGATTGCACCGCATACATACATACATACATAACTTCGCTGACATGGGACTTGGGCAAAGGGGAAGACCCCCATCAACCGGGCTAGGCGCCCTGGCCACTCGGACGGGAAGCGGAACTTCCCCTCTTGTTGCCGTCGGCATCATGCCCGGGCGTGCCGCTCGGGAGGTGACCGGAGCCCCTTTTTCTTTGCTTGGCTTGCGGCGGCAACACACCTCACGCCACGAGCTTGAATCAGTAGGATTTATTTTTTTTGGGTTTTGCTGGCTCCCCCTGCAATTACCAGACATCTGAAATAAGAAGATGGGAGCGAGTGGGGTCACCACGGGGGCGGGAACCTGAAAGATGGTGCATTGCACTACCAGGAATCAGAATCGGGACATACGTTGCGCGCGCTCTCATCGCAGGCAAAGCAGCTGGAGACAGCGCCGCTGCCGGTCCTACAGGCATCCGGCAGTGGCTTCTGTGGAAAGGCGTGTGTTTGTCAGAAGAAAACAGAGAGAACAACGTCGGCCAGTTGGGAAAGCGCAAGGCATGCTTGCGGTCGAGCTCGACGGGGGTCGTGGAAGGCTCGTTGCGCTGCGTTCCTTCTTTTTCCTGCTTCATGATTAGAGTTTAGGCAGTCATGCTACGACAACGTTTTGGTGCTTCTAACCGACCGTCGATGAGCCGATCGCCACGATGTGGGAAGGAGCACGTTTGGAACCCCCACGCTGCGAGGGTACGATATCAACAACTGGCTGACCGAGGGAGAAAGGGGAGAAACTAAGCTCGGCAACAGCCGAGAGTCCCGATCGGCAACGACCCTGGACTCGGGCAACGAAAAGAACAGCAAAGCCGACTTGGCCTTACCGCCCCTGGGTTTGCCCCTGTCCTTCGCCATCAGCGGCAACAGCAGTGCGATCACGACGCGCGTGCCTCCTTGATGCACGCAGCACCCTTCCCGCACCTACACGTGTAAACTTACAGTTCTTGTTGCAAAACGCGAGCTTCAACTTTGATCTTCTCCGCCTAGGCGCCACAACGCAAAGCATCAACGCCAAGGCATCGAACCCGACATGATTTTAGAATGGACACCATTTCAAGGGAAGTGCCAGCAACGTTATCTCGTCGCTTGGCGACTCTTCACCGTCTCTTCAAGTGATCAGCTGACGCAATACGTCGTTACTCCCGTCAGGCATCACAAAGTCCGCTGTTATGAGCGAGCCATCGCAGTGCTCGTCGGAATCCAGTGAGCTATCCGAGGCGTTATCCTCCCAGCAGGCGGTTACCTATCGAGGCAATCTCGTCATTCCTCAACGGCTTGGCGGCGTTCTTGTGGACCCCGGCTCCTGGTCTTGCTGCGTCATTTCTTTCCTGACAAGATCTGGATGAGGCTGGACAATGGCGTGCAAGATGCGGCGCTGCGGCCTTCCCATGGGTTGTGGCTTCAAGATGCCCCTGGCCCCCTGGCCGCCGCTTTTCATGCGGTGCGCACCGAAACCGGTTTCGACGCGCCGGCATGCTGCGTATAGTTGCCCGGAACGCTAACCATCAACACACAACGGCGTGGGATGAAGCATTATCTCTCTATCTGACGCAGCAGCCCGATGCAAGATGCTGTTAGACTCACCGCAAGGATGTCTAATCTTCCAACCCCCTTAGCCAGTCCGCCTTTGAAGGACGGGCGAGTTATCTTTGATAGCAAGTATGATGCATCCCCGCGGGTGATGTGTCAGCCGGGTCATTATAGTCTCTGAGGACTTGTCGTTCACAGTGCGTGGAATAGGATTGCATTGTACCCCCAGAGTTGTGAAGTCTACTGACCCTCCTGGCGTATGTATTGTACGTGCATATGTCTGGTCAATCGCGCCCAGCTAGCGGCTGAATGGTCTCTTGCTGCAGGCTGTTTCTTTCCCTTACCTGACATGGGCTCCAGGGGACAGTATTCGCGGCCTGAGAGCAGCACGCCGGAATTGACCACTCACTCTGCAGTCTCCTGCAGCACATAGAGCTCCGTATAAGTGGAGCTTCCTAGTTCTCTTCTCTGTACTCTACCTAGGTTGTCTCTATCTGGCGTTAAGTTCGGCACCCGGGTATCCAACACCATGCCTTGGCGGCTAACGGGCTTGCAGGGACTAAGGACAACCTCATCTCGGACCCTTGCTACAGAGTCTACGCCAGCTCGAGATTACCATTGGCACGATCTAAGGTAGAGAATCTTATGGTTAGCTTAGTATTCCATTCTTCGTCCACTATTACTCGAGCGAGCTCCAGGCGGTTACTGCATGACTCCGAGTCGGCTGAAGGCATTTCATCTTGATGGCGGGAGTATACTCACTAATGCCAGCGCATCTCATAAGTGGAGCAAGAGGCAGGAGATCTATTTCGTGTTGCTCAAGCTGACCTCGTAAGGCAGATCGAGCGAGGGTAGGTATCCAACGAAGACAGCTCCTTCCGCTCCCCTTACAAACGCGATTACCAATCTTGAGAGAGGCACACCATCTTCAACAAACCAGGGCCACTTAGTGGCACATACTATGTCGGATACCGCGGCTCGACATCGAGGCAGCCAGCCCGTCCTAACTTCAGACATCACCTAGTTATAGGCGCCGAGCATGTTGTGGAACGCTGTCACACGTCAACTGGTCGGCAGTTGGACCATTATAAGCCGCCCCATATCTCCGAAGCTACAAATTACTAGCACTGATAGCTCTTATCCTCATGCCACTCTAAGCCTAGCCTTTCTGTTTACAAGACAGTGCAACTACCTACCTACGTTCCTAAAGTGCGCCTTTGGCCGCCGACCACGACGACCCTCCGCTCTGACACCGCTTATTACGAGAGACAGCCTCCTGAAGCCTCTTATTCATAAGAACCTCGCATGCAAACTCGGCATCATGCATCGGTATCTTTGGAGACACAGGCCCGAAGCCCCCTTATGCGGGTACTCCCACCGGAACCGCGGCTCAATATGGATCTTTGCTATGCCCCGTTCAGTGTTCTCTGCTCGAGAGCACTTTGATGGCAGCAAGAAAGAGGAAAGGACTCGGGAGTCTGCCCAGTGACCGACTACTAAATAAGCGTGCAAGATTTTACTATCTTATAGCATTGCCCAGTTGTGGAGCGTGAAACTCTGCTCAATCGCTGCTAGAATCGTAGACGTCTAGCTGCGCAGAACAGTGGGCTTTCAGGTATATTTCCGACGTGCGCGGAACTCCCATTGAGGGTCCGATGACGGCGGCCATGTGAGCAAGGTGTATAGCCAGATGGTTGTCCTCCCTCGCTTGGCTCCTTAGGGGGGTGATTCGTCTCGTTTTCTCATCACCTACATCGGAAATAGTACCAAGTTATAGTGAATCAGATGAGGTAGCACATTCTGTCCAGTGGCAGCATATGAACGCGGATTTGAGTTAACCCTGGAATGAATGTGTTGTTCGTGCTGGCCTTGATGTTGGCGGTGTTAACTTGCGTTACGTAGTGCTGTGTGGCGCGGTATATCAAGTTACCACGCACCATCCTTTGATAGACTACGTTGAACCGCTGGCACTGCATGATGGCTGTTTCCATGGCACCATCGGTCAGGCTGAATCCAAGTCATGATGGGCTGGTGTACTGTGCTGGGTTCAATAAACTGCTCTACTTCTGTCAGGAAAAGGGAATGCGGAGGAGGAGCAGGTGAGGTGGTGGACTGACTCTGTAGGGGGGGTGACACAAGGCTTGGATCTGCTACCACTCGGTATGCCAGATTCCGAATACTTCCGCCTCGGTTGGCTTTGCCCGGTCTCCCCTCTTTCTGCTACGATCCTCAGGAACTAGCATGGTTATCCTTTGTATACTAGCGGAGCCAGCAATGCTTACCCAGCCATCTCAGGGCCCAGTATAGTTCTCAGCGCATAGTATGCATCGCACGATTCAGACATATAGATCAAGACATTTGAGCCCAAGCAAAACAGGTATATACGTTGTTTATCCTTTCTGTCTTGTTCATTCCTCCCCCTAGTCGTCGAATTCACCTCACAATGGCCGCCATCTCTCCCGCCATCGTAAGGTAGCCTTGGGAATTCCCATTTGCCTACACGAGTGGTAAGCGGATCTGGATGTTTGCGGTGGCCTCAGTCTGAAGATCACAAGCGAGTTCCCTTTTGACTTGATCTGCTACTTGGCCATAACAAGCATATAGATGCCGGCGGTGTGTCCGCACTGCTACTAAGGTTTGTGTTCCTCGATGTGGCGCCTCAGCGACTGAAGTAAGGTAGTTCAGGGGTTAGGTCGGTCATTGATGAGACAGCGTGGCAGCAACAAAACTGCCGGGGAATACGGAGTAGAGGGATTGGGGATCGCTTCTGGATGTTTATCGATGACCGGCCTTTTGATGGGAGGAAGAGAGCTACAGGATGGAGAAATGGATTGGAGGTGGCGGAGGAACAATTACTTACCGTAGGCACCTAGGCATGGCTGCAGAATGCAGATGAAGCGCATGTTGCAGCCTGGTGGGTTCTGTCACAAACCTAAGGCATGAGGGACCTGCTACCTTACATGTAGACCGTGCCTGACACCATTGCGACAAGTGAAGCCAGAGTACCATAAAGTTTGGGTGATTTGCTACAGTGAAGGTGGTGAAAGCTCGGATCAAGACACAACAGACAGCATCGTACGTAGAGGCAATAGTGTGGACGAATCAGAAGCCGTAACCGGAATGTTTTGGACAGGGGCTCTGCCGATCGGCTCTGGAGACTCTCGCATTAGGAGGACTCCATAACGCCCAGATAGTTGTCCACCACGGCTGGGCCTGCGACATTTTCCAGTGTGTAAAAACACTGTCATTGAGTCATTGAGAAGTGTTTGAAGACAATCACAAAAAACCATCAAGAAGAACATGGCATCGATATGGCGGATTACACCTAGTGTATATATAGCAATAATGTGATGCAACCGGCCAACCAACTACGGTGGGTGAAAACACCCACATATCTTCCGTAGTATAGTGGTCAGTATGTGAGCTTGTCACCTGTCCTGGTTTCCAGGAATCTGACTTCGCTCGAGACCCGGGTTCAATTCCCGGCGGGAGAGATGAACGACCTGAATTTTTGCAGTTTCCCAATCTCGGTACTGGAATCACCCTCTTTTCCCGTCGGCTTTTCCTTTCCTTTCCTTCTTTTCCTCCTCAAAACGCCCCGTCTTCCCCTCTGTCGATGAACAACTTATCATCATCGAAACAGCCGTGCAGCCTGGAACGGGCAGAGAGTTGGTAAGTAAATTTGTGCCAAGCCCACATCGCCTACTGAATCCGGAAGTAAGTTGGCCGGGCCGGTATCATCTCATTTACCTTTGAAATAATTAATTGCCTCGTTTCGCACACTCCTACGGCCGTTTTTGCTGGGGGCCACGAGGAAATAATATGCATGCTTGGGTTGTGAAACCATCATGAAGACAAACAAGCTGTACATCAAGAAACCTGATTGGAGACTCCCTAGGTTTTGATGTCTCCGTCGTGATTTTACGGCGAGTTGCCCCTAACCATCTCGGCCATTAGCCATCGAGCTACCGAATACAATCAATACATAGTCAACAGGGCTGAAAGCCCCAAGATTGGACCAAGAACTTACAAAATTGGATTGGGAAGGGAAAGAAAAGGAGGACATTTCCGCTACACTATGAACGCAATCATGCCCTGAAATTAGACACCGTATGATGTTGTTTTTGCCGACCTCAAGATCTAGCTTTCGAGCTTTCTCCCGTACGGAGATCGCGCTGCACACTGCGCCACTGCCACGTCCCGTACTGTGGTAATGCTCGAATACGATGGCCCACTCCCTCAATTCGCGTGGGAGAGTCCGAGAGGCTTAGAAACGAACATTCATGCTTGATGCTCGTAACGTTGCAGTGCTCCTTCAGTTCCTTTTTCAACATGTTCTTGTTTGTTTCGATGTCCTGTCAGGAAAGGCCCGGGAAGTGGAATTTTGCACTACGATTCTGTCTTGGCTGCTGTGTCTCCTGTTTCACAGCAAGAGGCGCAACGGTGAAGTGACATTCGCTAGCCGCACTGTTTCGCATGACGGCCATTGTTTGCTTTTGGCGGCTGGCATGGTCAGCCACAGTGGTCTCCAGGATCGTTGGTTGGCAACACGCGGGGCAACCAGGCGGCAGCCAGGCGGCGGCGATCAGATCTAACGTTACGCCCGGCTTCCAGGCCCCTGCTGTGGTATGCCTCGATTGGTCGAGATTTGTTGGCCTCATTGGGTTTCCTGCTGTTCACGTTCTGGAAAAACTCCGTGTAACTTGTACACCGGAGTCGTTTTACAGCAAGTCCGTGAAAACCGAGACATGTCATGGGAGTGGACTGCCATTTCGAAACACGCATGTTCAATGTTAAGGTTGGCGTTGGATGGAAGCGTGACTGCCAACCCGGTTGAACCAGTCCGCCGTTTTGATTTGGCTTGGCTGACCATAATAAAGGGGTTCGCTCATTTGCTACCAACCAAGCGTTCTTGGCTTGCAAAGACGGGACACAACAGCAGAGCGCGGGTGGCTGCTCTTCGGCAGTCCCGCGTGTATCGTCACAGCACATCTGATGTAGGGCAGAAAATAGTCGCACAGAACTGTCACTGAGTATGACATGCGTTCACTGTAGGTTTCTGTCATCGCATCTTGATGGCTGTGCTGTAGCTCGTCTTCGGTCGAGTGACTGTGCTGACTTGAAAGGCTCGTATCCTCGACCGCATTATTGAGCCCAATGCATCACGCCGAGTCAGCCAACGCTCATTTTAAAATTTGGTTGGCACTTTGGACGGGTCAAGCGGCAGATGCAACCAGGGTCTTGGGTGCACCCCTTTTTAGCAGGCACTCAGGCACTGTGGGGATGAGAGCGAAGCGACAGACGCAAGGCCCTTGTGCAGTGCTAGTGGCTGACTGCCTATCGAGAAGGGGATTGGCCCGTGACCCAGCCGCTCCTGCCACCTTGGCTGCTTTGGGAGGTGACATTGGGCGTGAAAGGGTCCGAGGCAGGACCACAGACAAGCTAGGCCAGGAACCCCTGAGCTCACTGGAGGCTGACACGAGGGCTCGCCTGGGCCGGAAGGGGCAAGCAAGGTGATTGAAAGCGATGATGGCCCCAGTCTGCTCGTGGGACTCGTTTTCTCTCTTTCCTCTTCGCAATACCCCAACCATACAAGTCCGCAGGAATTCATTGCGACTCGTCGCTTTCTGTCACTCGTTCACAGCCTCTTCGGCACTTATTTCTTTAATACACGCTCGCTCGCTCAGTAGATCGGTCGTCTGCTTCGCAATCAGGAAACTCCAACATCCAGAAGCCATAGACACACTACCCCATCTCCAACAATTCTCGAGCCATTAAATATGCAGTCCAGGATACTCTCGGCCACCGTGGTGGCTCTTGCTGCATCGCTTGTTTCGGCGCAGACCTTCACAGAGTGTGACCCCACCAAGCGTGGTGAGTACCAGTGCTTGTGGTTGACCTGACCAAGTCCTCTGCTGTGCTAACTTACTGTGATAGATGACTGCCCCAACCCCAAGGCCGTCGGCTCCAAGATTGTTGACATCGACTTCCGCAAGGGGGCCAACGATTTCTTCACACTTGCCGATGGGACGAGCTTGAAGTACGACGATAACCTTGGCGCCGTTTTCTCCATCAGCAAGGAGACGGAGGCCCCGACGATTAGCAGCCACGAGTATATCTTCTTCGGCCAGGTCGACTTGACTGTGCGGGCCTCTCGTGGTATTGGTGTCGTCACCAGCTTCGTGCTGCAGTCGGATGACCTTGACGAAATCGACTGGGAGTGGCTCGGCGGCGATTCTAAGCAGGTCCAGACGAACTATTTCAGCAAGGGTTGCACCGAAACGTACGACCGTGGTGGCTTCTCTCCCGTTGCGGACCCCATTAACACTTTCCACACCTACACCATTAAGTGGACTCCCGAGCAGCTTGACTGGATCATCGACGGCACCGTTGTCCGCAGCCTCAAGAACAGTGGCCTTTCGGGTTGCGCTGGCTACCCGCAGTCTCCCATGATGATCAAGCTTGGCACCTGGGTTGCTGGCCGCAAAGACGCGCCTCAGGGTACCATCGAATGGGCCGGTGGTGTCACGGACTTTTCCCAAGGTCCTTATGAGGGCTACTACCAGAGCGTTCGCATCCAGGATTTCATGGGCGGCCAAGGGGCGACCGAGGCGACCGAGTACCGATACACTGACCGCAGCGGCTCGTGGCAGAGCATCGAGGTTGTCAATGATGGCGAATCCGTCAAGCCCAGCAGCAGCGCCACCTCCAAGGCCAGCTCCAAGACATCCACGGCCTCTACTACTCTCAGCACTGTGACCTCGACCGCCAGCACCGGCTCCAACTCGACGACGACGACTGGCGTGTCGTCGGCAACGGGCGCCCCGACCGGTACTTTCACTTCCGACACCAACGCCGGCGTTACATCTCCCCCCAGCGCGGTTCCTACGGGCGCTGCTGGGAAGGTCGCCTTCAACATGGCTAACGTCGCCGCTCTTGGTGTTGCCGCTGTCCTTGGTTATCTTGTCCTCTAAGACAGGAGAACGGTCACCTGCTTGTTCCATTTGCACCTTCTCTTTCTGCCCGGAACCGGTGCTATTCTACGATTCGTTACACTCCTTTTTTCACCGTGTTTTCCTGTTTCCAACCGCCTGGGTGGTCGAAACGGCAAAACATGCACACAAATTGATGCGATGACGCCTTTTTAATACCGGTCGCCCTGGACGAAGAGAGAGACGCATACGTTACGGCAGCGAAATGGATGTCATCTCACGGGGAAGCAAGGCATATGCACCGATGTACAAAGTTTGGATGTAGATGAGGTTGTATGATGGTTAGGGATGACGATGGCAGGAGAGGGCAGCGATGCTTTGCTGTGATGGTTGTGGGGTGGAGGTTGTGGTCCAGCGGTTTGTCTTGGTTGCTGTTTTTGCCGTATAAGACCGATACCTGCTATATATCATGGGAGCGTCTTCATTGATATCACTGGCACCGCAGTTCTAGAGTTCTAGAGAAAGCCTAAAATAGACAAGGCTGGGTCAGATTTGACACCATTATCGAATGGCAGTGCGAACTGTACAATGCAGCAGGTTTTGGGCCATGCGATAGTGTTGCTGTCCACTCTAAATTTGTGAGGACGTCAATTAGAGCCGGCTGCGGACCCAATCCGGGTATTCCGATCGAAACACTTGCAGATCTAAAGTCGGTTGTGTTCAACCTGGTTTCTGGGTCAATGATCGACGTTTGCACCGAGGCTGATTTGCAATCAGTCATGAGCCAGCTCACAAGGCTTAAACGTCTCTGACACGGGACGAGTCCTTACCCGCTCCTCCCTTCCCGTGGGACCAGAGTGAGATTAACCTGGCCGGATGTAGAAGAGCTCGAGAGGGGACCGCTCTATGCAATATGAACTACAGCTGATGGACGTCAGAACCAAAGTTTTATCTTTCTCTATTGATGATATTACATTACAAGACAGAGAGGGGTATCTAATTGCTTTTACGGATCCGCCTCGGGCGGGATGTTTTATGCTTCTGCGGTTTCGCCGTTCCCGTCCTTCTTGAGCCCGCCCTTTTCGGCGGAGCCTTCCTTCCCACCGGCTGCCTGGTTGTGTTTCTTGATCTTTTTCCAGCTGAATCCAAGAGCAACGACGAAGGCGGCGCCCGCGCACCCGACGCTAATAAAGTAGGCGTTGCGCAGCCCTTGCAGGTATGCGCTGAGGACAGGGACCGTATACTCGGTGGCATTCAACTGGGCAAGTACCTGTCTGATTTGAGACGCGCCGCTGTTGATAAAAGCCTGAGGTGGCAGGCCAGGAACATCCCGCTCGATGCCCTCGGTGATGCCGTTTTGGAAGACGGATTGTGCCACGGCGATGAAGATGGCGCCCCCGAGCGTCTGGAAGAACTGGACGCAGGCCGTCGCTACAGCGACCCACTCAAACGTCATGACGTTCTGGACGACCAGGATACCAGCTTGGAAACCGATACCGACTCCGAGGCCTGTTTGGGCAATGTCAGCTTAACAAGACCCTTGGAAGAAAAAGGGACCAGGAACCTACCGGCAAGGACCTGGTATCCAAACCATTCCCTTAGCGGACTATCGAGCCCAAGGGTCGTAATCATGCCACTCCCAACTGTAAACAGGACCATGCACGGCAGGATGAAAGGGTTGTAGTAGCCGACAACCGTGACCAAGCCGCCAGAAGCCGTCGAGCAGATGACAGTCGCGATCAGCAGTGGAAGCTGTTTGATTCCGGCTTGGACTGCACTATCGCCCTGAATGGCCTGGAAGTAGAGCGCTGATGCACCAGTTAGCCCATATACCATCCCATCCTCAAAGAGACGAACGTTCACTTACACATGTAGTATACCAGCGGGTAGAAGCCCGCCCCAAAGAAAAAGGAGAATAGCATCGCGCAAAGTACATTCCGGTTCTTGAACAGCCGCGGGGGCAGCGTGCCCTTATCTCCCTTCCAAATCTGGATCCCGATGAAGATAATCATCATGACGGCGAAGCCAACAAACAGCCCGATAATGACCGAGCTGTTCCACGGATGCTCCGTGCCACCCCACTCCAGCGCCAAGAGCAGGCACACAATGGACGGAACGAGCATGGCCGTACCAGGCAGATCGAGACTCAGGACCCTGGCAATCCACGACTGTCCGGTCGGATTGGTCTCCTTGTCGATACGCAAAATGAAGAAGATGGCCACCATGGCCGCGCCGCCGATGGGCAGGTTGATGTAGAAGCACCAGCGCCACGTCACATTGTCGGTGAAGGCGCCGCCCAGGAGGGGGCCGGCGACGCTGGCGATGCCCCACATGCCGCCGATCAGGCCGAAGGCGGCGGGCCGCTTGCGGAGCGGCAGGGTGTAGCTCAGGATGACGATGCCGCCCGAGAAGAGGCCCGCGGTGCCGATCCCGGCCAGGGCGCGCCCCACGATGAAGGCCTCGCTCGTCGGCGCCAGCGCGCACACCAGGCTGCCCAGCTCAAACAGGAACACGGCGGCCAGGTACGTGAACTTGACGCTGAACATGCGGTACAGCGAGCCGTAGACGGGCTGCAGCGCCGTTGTCGTCAGCAGGTACGCCGACCCGTACCAGCCAATGTCCTTGACCGAGCCGAACTCGCTCGTGATGGCGCCCAGCGCGGGTGCGATGATGGTCTGGTCCAGCGCGACCAGGAAGACACACAGGCAGATCGACATGATGATGAGGGCCAGCTTGAGTCCGGTCGGGTAGACGGCGTAGGCTTGGTCCGAGTCAGGCGTGGCCGAGGACTTGGCCTTGGATGGCTGGGTGGTGGTGTTGGTGTCCATGTTGTCGTAGTCGCGAGCCGTAGTTGAAAACGTCCGCTCAGGAGATCGCTCGCGGTCCGTGTCGGTTGCCGTGGTATTGGTGTCCTTGTCGGTCTTAACGCTGCCCATGGTTTGGGCGAGTCGATTATCGAGGGATCACTGTTGTATAAAACTCGACGACCTACTCTGGCTTGGCTGTCGATATGCAGTGAACGCAAGGATTATATATAACCAGAGAACTTCGGTATTTCTTGCAGAACCGCAGGGGTCGAGCGAAGCACGCAAAGGTTGAGACTACCCGGACTTAGACATCAGATGACGTAGAAATTGATGACGACCCAAGCCGATGGAAGGACAAAGGGTCAAACGTCGATGGCGCTGCCTTGCGACGTCGCCGACCCCTTTATCAAGCCAGCAAATCCACGATATTTGCAATGGAGGATGAGACGCCATCTCGGTGCTCGGGCTTGCGGCAGGCCAGCTGGGTATGTCTGATAATTAAGAAGTTCTTCCTTGCATGGTTTTCAACCGAAGTAAACACGAATCTAGCAAAGGATTCGAGACTCCAGATGAGATGAGAGTCGAATCATTGAAGGTCTCGGTATTTTGGTTCGCCCGCATCGCAATTGGTTGGTTAGCGACGGCATTGAAAGCTTAGAGCTGATTAGAGTTCGGGGCTCGGTGTTCTGTTCCGCCAACTGCAAATCATGAACCTAACGGGCTGGCAACAATCCTTCGACACTGAAATCGTCCCATGTCCGAAGTGCGAGCCAACCCTAAAATCGACCCGCGTCCGAAGCGCGAGTCAACACCGAAAACGTACCGTGTTCGAAGTGCTATCCGAGCCCTTCACAATAACTCAGTATACACGTGTAGTGACGGGATACACGCGGCAACAGATGCTTCGAAAATGTGGTGTCATTCGCTTTCCTCTCTCACCTGCTGGTATCTGGAGACATCACGAAGAATACCAACCCATAAAAGTCCCAAACCCCAATCCATGTGAGAATGAAACAGATGGTCGTACCTAGCAGGAAAAGAGAAAAAGAACGAGAACAGAAGTACAACATCACTTCCGGTTCCTCGTCTTCTTCTGCGTCTGCGTCGTGTCCTCCTCGACCTCGTCCTCACCCTTCTTCAGGTCCTCGGTCAAGCCCCACTCCTCCTTGTCGTACCAGTCCTCGCCGTCGGACATGTCCCGGTTCGGCCCGCAGTGCGCCTCAGCCTTGGCCCACTGCCACACCGTCCTGCGGTACCGATCCGCCTTGAGCAGGCCCTCAAAGAGCCGCTTGGTGCCCCGGCAGATCTCCTCCTGCTTCTGCACGTACAGCAGCAGCAGCCGCCGGACCTCCTCGGCCTCCTGCTCCGGTAAGCCCAGGTCTCGCTCCGTGCGCGCGGCCGGCGGTAGGTGGAAGAGCGGATGGATGAAGAGCTCTTCCGGAGGAACTTCGGCGGAAACTGCATCTGATGCTGCTCTGTTGTCCCTGCTACTAGTGAGGTCGCTGTTGTTGTTGCTCTGTGTCGAACCGTCTGGCCTCAGGACTGTTGCCTTTGACAAGGGGTTTTGAAGACCTCCTCTGATGCTATCGCCGGAAACGATACCCGATGCATCGGCCATCTCCACATCCTCTCCGCCCGTATAATCTGGCGGCTTGTTCGAGCTGTTGCCTGCTTGAGCCGTGCCATCCTTGTCTTGCCCACTATGCTCAGGGCACTGGGAGACTTGTGTATGGTTTCCCTCGTTGTCCGTTGGGTTTGGTGCCCCGGGTTCTGCCTCGTCGGTCTGTTCCGCTTGCGCATCCGGCAAAACTTCCCTGTCGTCAGTACTTTTCTCCGGCCCCCTGTTTCTCTCTGTGCTGTCTGTTGACTGCGTACCGGCCTGTCGAACGTCACTTTTCGGCACCTCGAGTAATGCGTTGCTCGATACCGTGTGTCCTCCATTCAAGCTCGAAGGCGCCGTAGCCTTTTGGGGGACGCGGCTGGCTGGGCGGTTGAAGAAGCTGGTGGTATCAGAGAAGAGCAGGGCGTCGCTGTCGTCGGGTGATGTCATAAGGCCACAGGGTGCCCAGATGTTGTCGCCAACGAGTTTTGTAAGCAGCGGTTTGGCCTTCCATAGTGCCGCATTCTCCTTGTGCATCAGGTTGCGCCCCTGCTCGATCAGTTCCGTCAGGGCCTTTGAAGTAAACGGTTTCGAGAGCGTCGGGTGTGAGGGAAGGTCAGTAACGGCAGTCAGCGGGGCCAGAATTTCTATTCAAGGTCAGCACCGCCCTCAAGAGCCGGTAAGGAGTCTAGGCAACCGAAGCACGTACGTTCCAGCCGGACGGACGAGTACGGATTATCTTCCATAGCCGAGGCAATGGCCTCTTGGACTTCCTCCTCGTCATTGTCGCTGTCAATGTCGTATCCCTCTTCGTCGATCAGCCGCGGATTTGCGCTTATGATTGCTCGGTGGTAGCCAGCATGTTCAGCGACCTGAGCTTCGTCAATCACTGCTCCCGATGGCGAAAAGAAAAATTAGGACTTGGTCACACACACCTCCTTGTATGCGGCAGGCCCCATAGACGATACCAGACGGCCTTGCTTGACGAAGCGCGCCCGCTTTTTCAACTTGTTGCCCCGATTCGTGGTGTGGTCTATCGAGGAATCCGAGTCGGAGTCTGAAGCGCCACGCGGGTTAGGAACGATGATCTAGACGCAAAACGATTCGGGCGTGACGAGAGCGGTGATGCTGAGTGACTGACCATAATCTTTGCGTTTCAGTGTCCTCCTGATGGCGAGGATCGTCTCCATGATCAGGGCTTGCTGCTGCGTCGACATTTCGAGCCTGCGCGGGCGCGACACGCCAAACTGGAAGGTAGGTTCTCGATCGTGGCTGGAATGAATGGCGAAGATGCGGGTTACGGCGCCCAGATTCACGCAATACGGGTAAATAATGAAGAGTGCTTTTGAATTGAGCGGTAGCAAGTGAGCAGCCAAACATCGAGCCTCTCCGTGGTTCGGGTCGGATTGCTGCCAACGGCGGAAGGCGGGCAGCAACGGCACTACCTAAGGGTAATTTATCAAGCTGCCGGGCTGTTTGTAATTGGGTATCGGTACGTAATCACATACAAATATACGGACGTACCGTAATGTATTATACAATACAGTACGGTATGAATTGGACGCCCAAACTTGAAGGCTTGGGACGGAGGGCATCTTGTATCACTCGGCGACTGGTACATACATATGGTACCATATATTCCGCTTACCCGGGGCTCTGGTAACTCCTGAAGCTGGTCGTCGCACATTGATTCCATGTGATCAAGTGTGTTTGCACCGAGCATCACATAGGTCACAAGGGTACAATTACCACAGTACAGTCAAACCTGCAATTAGCGATACTGGGAATAGCGATTGGCCAAGAATGGAAATAAGTGGGTTATAAATGTCAGGGTTAATCAGGGTTATGTATGGGCATAACCTGAGATTAGCGATAATTATCATGGGGGGTAGGCTAATTACTAAGCCATTTTGGGAGCGGCCCACAAAATGCTCCACTTATCGCCGTATATGGTAGGAGGTAATAGCGATAACCTCTGATTAACGATCAAAATCGCGTTCCCGACCCAATCGCTAATTGCAGGTTTGACTGTATGTACAATCTACGGTATTCAGATCACATCGATAGACAGATCAGGCACGTCAGAGAGTGAGGGGATCATCTAAAGTCATTAACGTGGAAGCCATGTCTAGTTTTACTACGTACATGCGTCGCTAACTAACCGTGAAATTTGGCATCACCAATCGGGTGGTTGAGAGCAACTGCGCTGCGTGATGATCCGCATATCTAAGGTGATCACTAGGTACTGTACTAGTGTAAGAGGGCCGTATCCGCGATCTCGGGCCTCGGAGCGCGGGACCAGCCGTCGACCCCACCACGTCCCCATCTTGGGAGCCCCGCCATCGAAACGATTCATTCCGCTTCCACCACCACCTCACTCACACTTATCAACCTCCTATACCTCCCATAGCGCGCCCAAGACTCCATCATCCCATCATCCGTTCGAACCGTTAACCGGCCTCACCACTCCACCGCAAATCCACCCAGCAAATCCACCAGACACAATCCCCCTATCCCTCCAAAGATGGCGACCGCAACAACAGAGACCAGCAGCAGTAGACCCCTTCTCATCGGCCCGGACGCCGGCCCGTCCCCTCCGTACCCTCTGCGCATGTCCGGCAAGGTAATATCCGGGTTCGGGCGGGGGTCCAAGGAGCTGGGGATCCCGACGGCCAACCTGCCCGTGGACGACGCGCGGACGCCGTGGATCAGCAGCACGCCGTCGGGCGTCTACTTTGGCTGGGCTTCGCTGCAGCTGCCCTCGACGCACCCGGATTGCCCCCCCACCACCACCGACGGAGAGACCAACAGCAGCAGCAGCAGTAGTAGTAGTAACGGATGGAGCGTATACCCCATGGTCATGTCGATCGGGTACAACCCGTTCTACAAGAACACGGTGCGGTCGGCCGAGGTGCACGTGCTGCACGAGTTTGCGGCCGACTTTTACGGCGTCGACATGAGGCTGTTGATTCTGGGCTTCATTCGCGAGGAGAAGGACTACAGCGGGCTCGACGCGCTTATCGCTGACATCAACCTCGACTGCGAGGTTGCGAGGCGCAGTCTGGCGAGGGAGGGGTGGGCGCCGAGGGAGGTGGAAGTGGAAATCACCGGCGACAACAGCAGTAGGGAGGGAGGGGCAAAGAAGAGACTAAGGGGTACGTTGGCGGCGGGCTGGCTGATACGGCCCGACGAGAGCGAGGAGAATGGGGCAGATGGGAAGTGAGAGATGGAGGCGGCGGAGGCCATGGTACGAGCTGGGTGGGGTGTATAGAGGTTAGATGAGGCACGAAACGGTCAACCGATAAACGTATAGACAGGTCCGGGAGTTTGGGTTAGCCGGACTGGGTGGAGAGTACGTTGGCCCCTCAGCATGGCGACGGCTCTCAAGCAACGGACAAAAAAATAAGCATGCTCAATTGCGCCCAACCACACATAGGACTCAACACGGTCCCTTTTTGGAAAGCGATTACGGATCCAGGTATCCCAAATTCAATGCCTGACACCCCCCTATGCCCTTTTTGCGTCCTTGATTTTCCCTAATTCTATGACCAGAAAGCATGTGCGTTTCACACCGCTTGGGTGTGGTTGCGATAATAGCATGGCAGGAACTGCAATGGTCAGCCAGTCAGCCCCGCAACTTCGAGATGACCGGGAAAACCTACGTTTATAACAAACAGCATAGGCATGTCGAACATATCCCGCTTGATGATCCATGTGTAACTGCACTCGAGCTTGCCATCTCGCTCCAGCTTCGATATCCCGTGCTCGCCGTCAATCTTCGCGACACGGTTGCTCAGGATACTATTCCGAGGGTCTTTTTGTGGGGCCTGCACGTCTTCGTTGCCGCCTCCCTCAGCCTTCTCTTGCGTGCGGTATTTGAGGAGCCGGCATTTTCTCGTCTTGTGGCCTCGGCTGTCGTTGAATGCCAGCTGTGAGTAGTCTTCGTAGAATTCGACGGCACTCTCGGCGTCTAATAGCTCGGCAAGAAAGACAGGTTGAGGCCCATCTGCGGCCCCCTGCATGTCCGCATTAAGGCTCCTGAGCCGGGGTGTCGTCAGGCCGAGTCGGCTCCTGGCGTTGCCGTTATCCGAAGCGGAACCGCCGAGATTGACGTTACGGTTCGGCTCTTTGCCGAGCAACACTTCTTTTGTCCACCCAGTGAGCGCCGTAAACTCCTTGTTTACGCCCGCCACTTCTCCCGTTCGCCTGCAAGCGAGAGTAGGACTGGAGCACTGATGCATGAACTCTTCGTACTCAAAAAGAGATCGCTGGAAGTACTTTTCCATGAAGACCAGGTCCTGCCTAGTCAAATTCCTGGTGGATGCTAGCAAGGACGGGCGGATGCTCGCTAAGGACTTGGCGATGCGGGATGTGTGCGCTGAGGAGAACCGGCTTTGGATGAGGTTGAAAAGCCTGTGAAAGCTCGCCACATACCCGAATGGCTCCTTGACACTGTCGTAGATGAAAGAGGGATCCCGTTGACGTTTCCCCAAAATCGACTGCGCTCCTAACTTGGCAAGATTGTTCGACTGTCTAGTGGTCGGCCTTGGCGGATTCGCCGGCTTGTTGCCCGTCGTCGTAGAAAAGCTCGTCGTGGTTGGGGAGCCCTCGAAACCAAGGGCAGAGGGTTGCGGACTATTGTTCTCAGTACTGGGACTCTGGACACTGTTTGGCCCGGCTGCAATCGCATAAGCGTGCGGTAAGCCGTGTTGCAGGTTCCCTTGCGAGTATACACCGTTTGAGTGTGCATCGAGACCGAGAAAGCCATCCATAATGCCGCCGTCGTAAACCTTGTCGAATTGGTTGACCCCATTCCCAAAAACTCCCCCGGATCCAAAGTTGACGCTACCGCTTGCAGCGCGCGACATGGAGGCTTCATGGGGAGGAGTCTCAGCAGCACCGGACGACATGTGGCCCAACATGCCAAATTCCATGGCTCCGTAATGACTGCCAAAATTGAGGCCTTCAAGGTTGAAGTTGAATATGTTGGGATCGCTCGGATCAAATGGTAGAGCGTTGAAACTTGCCATCGGACTCGAGACGTTGGGCACTGTTATCCCACTGATTTGGGGGTTGGCTGATGTTTGGAAGGACGGGGACACGGGAGACTGCTGCGTAGCAAAGGGGATGTTGTCCGCTAGGCTCCCTATTGGGGCTTGCGCGGATGTGAAGATTGGGAACTGGGACGCAGTTGACTGGGGAAAGAAAGCTCCCACGCTAGATGACGCTTCTGAAGTCGAAACACTGGGATGTCGCTGGCCGTTATGTCGCGTCGACGGCGGGCTCGGGTTATAGTTGGGGCCTAATACTGGTCGTAGCGCCTCAGGGGGCGCGTCGTGGAGATACTTGGCCTTCTTCCTGACTCCATCCTGGCAGCTATCCATCAGCCCGCGCTTAATACACCGCTGGCAAGGCCGTTCGTCACCTAGAATTCGGATTAGCTCACGAACCACACGTATGCCTCCCCAGCCTCCGTCAAGGGAGAGGGCAAAACAAGCCAGGTTGGGTAGCCATATGACGGGAAGGCTCCAGCCATTCCCTTTGCCTTGAGGGAAGGCACCGTGTACTTAGTAATGTGCCCACGAAACGAGGACTTACCGCAAGTGAGATGAGCTCGCTGGCAGGCAAAACAAGCGCGCCTAGCCTTCTTTCGGCGAGGACGCAAAGGGTCCTTTGGGTCATATGTCTTCTTGACCTCGCTGTTGGCATCGGCACCCTCAGAAGTTGCGTTCCGCTCAGCCATCTTGTCGTCGTATTCGTCGTCTCTAGCGTGCTGTTCGGTGTCGTCGTACTCGTTCTCACTCTCGGACATGACACCCGAGGCCTCTGGCCCCGAATGTCCACCGTCTTCCGGCATGACGGCCTAACCCTTTTATATACGTTCTGGACTGTACGGAAAGTACGGCAATGCAGGAACCCCTTCCTGGCAATCAAGCGCAGGGTCCAGGCGAGGTGGGGGAGCAATGAGAGAGTAGGGAAGAGCACCTGAGGTGCCCTGCAACACGGTCACAGGGGTGGGCAGCGCCAGGAAGTGATTGGCGCTGCAAGCCGCTCTTGATACCAGGGCGAAGAGCTGGCGAGCTGGCAGGGAAGGAGGCGTACCCCAGGGGCCTGGTACGCACAATCAGTGTGGTGAGAGAGCTGAGCTGGCTGTCAAATTAAAGTGTGGTCAGTTGCAGCGGGCAGAAGCGGACAAGCTTTTGCCAGACCAGACGCAGCACCAAATGGCTCTTTGACACTCTCTGGGCCCCTTGGCTTGGCCTAGGTTCCTGTAGTGTTCCGCGGTATGGAGTACTGATCGTCGTCCAGCACTAGGAGGGGAAACGCTCATGCCAACTGTCGAGGCTTGAGCACCACTGCAACAGGACGGTTCTTGTCTCGTGTCCTCACTGCTTCTCCTAGCAGGCCTGCCCAATTGGGCTCGGAGAGATCCAGGCAGGGAGGCGTCTCTGTGCGACAGCGAACCGCGGTAGAGGTAACGGAAGCCGGTTGTCGATCGCGACGTGGTTGGTCATGCGATGGCGGATAAAGCACTTGGACTGTCCGGAGAGAACCTCGACTCCTGGAGCGCGTGTTGCACAGCAGTGATAGCAAGACCTCCAGCTGCAAGTAGCCGTCACTTATACTTCTTTTAGCCCGTGGCGCCGCCTCGCTGGGGCTTGGGCTGGCCTCGATCCAAGATCAAGACGCGACTCGGATTAGGGGACGGATACGGCACCCTGAAACGAGCGTCTCTGCGGCAATAAATCGGCGCCCTTCAACGCTTTCCATATGCCTCGATGTTTCTGACTAAACATGCCGCGGCGCTCGTAGCCTGTCGCTATCCAGCCCGTGTAAAGCCGTTTCCTGAGGCGCACACGTAATGTGGCGAGCGTTAATGGCTGAATTGATGCCGTCGTTCCAGACGTAAAGATGCGGTTGCCGCTGGGTAGCGCTGTGGCCGGGAAAAGCCGAGGGGGTAGACTCGGACCGGTGTGAAGATATGTCTCCTGTAACGTCGCGGCTTCAATTGTCCAGATTTACCGTCGCAACTCACTACTAATCTCACCAGACGTATCTGGCACTGCTCGCATGGCAGCGGTGGAGGGAGGGAAAAGTAGGGGAACCCTGATGGATCACGAGGTCCGGTAGGCGGTCAAGGAAGGTGTGCTAAGGTCAGCGAGCAGGTGTGTGACTGTGTGTACTGTATGTATGTACGTGGCGACGGACTGGCCTGCCGGTCGTTTACCGAGTTGGCGGAGAGCTGGAGTACGGAAGTACTGAGGAGTGGTTTGCATCAGCCTCGGGTTGGTGGGCAAAAGGAACGCCGAGCTTTGCTGTAGCTCCCTGTTCCCCGCTGCGGGGGCCTAACCCTCGTAAGAAAACTTCAAGATCTTGTTCCCCACCTTCCATTTGCTATGTGCCACTGTACGGAGCGAGACCAGGGTACTGGTACAATATGTCCATACCCAAGGTACATAGCAGTCTCCTTGTCGTACATACACTTCCTTCTTGCCAACGTCAACCCTCATGCGGCAGGAGGGGCGAATATACTGGTGTGTTGCTCGCATTGTTTTGCGGCTGGCTAACCCTCAATTGGTGATTTGTTGCTCTGCAGTTGCCAGTAACCGTGACAAGAGGAAGGGAAAGCCCTGCGTGTGGGGTAGGTCTCGCGACTCTCGCCAAATGCATGGGCCCACATTGTCAAGTCAGGAGCTGAGTGTTTCGCAGCTTTCGCTCAGTGCTCTCTGCCCGACGAGGAAACGGCACGGGAAACACTATACATACAGTACATCACACGCTTCCCTAGGATAACCCTAACCCAGGTTGTCACCTGAGGCAAACAATCTTAATGTTATCGATATGTGCTCAATACAAAATCAGGGGTTACTCCGTACTCATTCGGGACTTTGGCATTGGCAACCTTTAGCAGTAACGTCAAAATCCAAACCTTCAAATCTCGTTGCAACCTTTTCAGGTCATGGGTTGTATGCGCCAGCCACGAGTCATCCGACTCGAACCCTGTTCTCGAAGCATTAGAACCGTGCATACTGGCGGCCTCAAAGTTGTTCTACTTTCCGAGAATCAAGACTTCATGCCTACCTTACCCAGGGTCATCAGGCGCTTGCCTAAAGTCCTGTTGACGCCGGACGGAGATGCTCTAACCCTTTCTTTCAACGAATCTCGACGCCGGAAAGGAATGCTACGAATAATAGCTGTTTGTTTATATCACACGCCCACACCGTCTTTATTCCGCTGGGGTGCCTTGAATCCGCTTGAATCCGCTTACAGAACACAGCTCACACAGTAGATGCTGCCTATAGCTTACCAACGTCTGACTTTGCAGCTTTGCACGTTTAGAGGCGCATGAAGCGTATTAAACTTCTTTTACCTGTCTGTCCTACCATACATGACACCTATGGTACACCGCTGGAGGAACAAATAGACGGTCAAATCCCGGCACACGCTCTCCGTTATCCTCCGATTGAAGACCTGCGTCTGGTCGAGCTCTGTGTTGAGCACAGTCACGCGTCATGCTCTGGGCGCTCACTTTTGACCTTACAGTCCCGCCAGCGCGGAGTAGATCAAGGAACCGACAGCCATACCATGTCCGGGCGAGCTGCTTCTAGGCCACAAAGCCAAATGTCAGCTAGCGCAGCTGGACATCCAGGAAATTGGCCGTCAAGATGAAGGGTGGTGTGCGCCAAGATGGCGCTGCATCTTCTCGCTCCAGATTTCGTGCCGATGCATCCCCGGCAGACCACAGGACGTGTTCATGCAAGCCTGGACCTCTATCAAACACTGGGTTTGTTCAGACGGAAGCTCCCCGATTCCCACGTCGATGTGGGCCCATGTCCCTATGAGACTGTCGCGAACCGACTTCGAGCTCGTATCCTCTTTCCAAATCGGAAGAAAATGAAGGGAGCGGGCATCAATGCGAGGGTGATGAAGGCCAAAAGCCCCGTAGCCCACTGGAACCCTAGACCCTCATACATCTGTACCCCAAATAGGGGAAATGCGGCTGGACGAAGAGAATGGTGAGCGTCAGGACTAATCAATGACTCGGCAAGAAGCGGATGTAGATGAGCGACGACATGTCGTGTCACCGGGCGCCGGCCTACCTGCGAATGAGCATCTCACCAAGGCATTCGATGCTAGGGCACTCGCTGCATATCTGGCGGTACGTGGTCAGTCGAGGGCTGACATAAGGCATTATTCAGGTTCAATCTTACCGTGGATAGGCGTCGACCTGAATGTGTGCCGCCACCAGTTCGTATCAGCATCGTTTCTCGGATTCTGTCCAATTCTTTGTCCTTTAGATCGTGTGACACTTACCAAGAAGGTGAAGATTCCTGTAAAGGCAAACGACATCCTGCGGAGGGACCCGGCCGGTTAGCCGCATGACTGTTGAAGAACGGTATCTGCGAGATCACAGAACGGGCCAGGGCAACCCCAGACGCCCTGACAAAGCCATGACTAAAGGGGAGATCAGGGCTGTTGCGTAAGGGTACACAAAACGTGGCTGCCATCGAGACGCGCTACTGCCGTGGCAAAGTTGCGAGGCGGCTGTTGTGGCGACGAGTGGGATCCCAAGGCTGTAGATGCACAGCCCTTCCACGCTCTCTCCTCGCGAATCAAGACGCCAAGGGAAACTGTCCGAAGAGTTCCTGTACTCACCCAAGACCAAACACGCCGGAGCCAATTATAGGCACGATCCAGTGCACCTCCGGGTACGTTGTGAAGCCGAACCAGAACAGCCCACCCGTGATCAGCGGGGCGCCAACAATGACTTGCGGTAGCTGATCTTCGGGCTCGTCCTTGAGGATCCCTGTCTCCTTGCGCCTCCGCTCGACCAGCCTTTCCCGGATCCTGTTCCAGAGCGGTGTGCTCAGGCAGGCGATGACCATTGCCACCAGCAGACCCATGAAGGTCAGCCCGACTTGCCAAAGATTGAAGCCGTGGTTGGTGGTGAATATCAAGGGGAAGGCACCAAAGAAGAGGTAGAGCATCCCGAGCAGCATTGCCGTGTAGACATTGAGAATCAGCGCCATGGGCTCGAAGATCAGAATCTGGAAGGGACGGAGCAGCGAGTAGGCCACGGTTCTCCAGACGGATTTTGTCGACTTCTCAATGGGGGCGCGCCACCTATCGTCGCCCGTTTCGCGGCGCAGCCGTTGTGCTTTCCTTTTCAGAAGGATTGGGTCTGGTGGTAGAGTAAGGGTTAGTCTCATCATGTCTTCCTCCTACCATCTTTGTTCATATCTCTCTCTCCCTTCACCCTGGGACACATACGATAAGTCTCTGGGACGAACAAGGCGATGCTCAGCAAAAGCACACCGGCCCAGATCAACAAGACGTAGTGCGTCCACCGCCAGTGCGTGTACGTGTTGATCAAGCCGCCGATAAGGGGGCCGGTCGAGGGCCCGATAAAGGGGGCCAGGGCGAACACGGACATGGGAGCGAGCATCTCGTCGTGCGAAAAGAGGTCGCCCACCGTGCCGCCCGACACGGAGAGAAATGCGCTGCCAGCCAGGCCCTGGAAGAAGCGCGCTACAATCATGGTCTCGATGTTCTGTGCTACCGCCGAAGGGATGAGCCAGATGATGAAACCGGCGAAGGAAAACAGGTAGATGGGCCGTCGGCCGTAGAACTCGGCCAAGGGGGACCAAAATGGCCCCAAGGCAATGCCCAACACGAAAGTGGACAGCCCGAGGGTGGCCACTAGCCGGGTCGTGTGGAATTCGGGCGTCATTTGAGCGTACGTTGCTGTGTACGTGGCTGAGGCGTTTGTTCTTTGTTTTCCTCAGCATCCCTCGTCAGTTGGGGAGCAAGTCAGGGTAGGAAATAGGGGGCGTTGGCACTTACACGCAGAAACTGCCTATGCTGGTAATTACGATGATAACCCATTTCCGCCAGGTCGGCATGCTCCGTGGACAGAGAGGATCGCTGTCGCCTCCTTCCCACCCAACTTCAAACTCGTCGTGCTCGCCAGCCTGGCTGGGGTGGTTGTAAGGAGCGATGATGCTCCCGGGTCTCGACGGGGTTTCGTCGATGTCATCTACGCCCCAGCCATTGTTTGAGCGCTCTCTCCTGAGGGTGCTGAGGGTCTCGGTGCTCCTGCGGTGGTGGGAGACGGCTTTGATGGGCTCAAAACGGGTTGCCGAGCTGGTCTCTGACTTCTCTGTGGATGGTCCGGTGTGTGTTTTTGTCAATTCTATATCATCAACATTCTCAGGCCCAGAAACGGCGTCATGGCGCTCTTTTTCCTCCATATTCCCGTCCCGGATCCTATTATCCGGCTCAAGGGGCTGATCAGAGGTGTAGGAAATCCTCGGGTTATTTCCGGCCGACGATGGTTGAGTCAAGGTTAGTTCAAGCAGCTATGTCAAACAACAATCACAGATGTTCAAAGCTCAGGTTGAATGAATGACATCAATTCCATGCTCGAGGTTGCCCAGACAAGGCCGAGGCCAGGGGCAAACGTAAGGGAAGACGCGCCTAGGAGCTTTTTAAACAGCTTGGGACCCTGGTTTCGATGCTACGACCCAACGTGGAGATGGGACGGAGATAGGGTGTCATTTCCAAACCCATGGTTGTCATGACTCCTCCAAAACCCCTTTGCGGAATGGGACCCGGTAAGTTCAAGCGGAGCATGCCCTGCCGGCAACTATCCATGACAGGATCCATCTGTCAGGGAATAGTCACCGTGAATACTCACCGATTGGGTAGGCATCCAATGTAGGTGAGTTGAAGTAGTAAGACATAAGAAAAGGACATAGAGATGCTCATCATGTAAGTAAGTGTCAGCACTTGGATAAAACGTATCGTGGCTATGACATCAACGAGGGTGGCTTGATGATGGGTCTGAGGAAAAAGGCTTTTCCTCACTCAGGTAACCAACAACCGGGAAAAGATGACCAGATGACCGGATGACCCGTTGTTGGATTACGAGATGATGAATGCCCTAGAACGACAAAATGCTGCTAGAATTGTAAAAGGATGTGGGGTGCTTCAAAGGCGCGATCGGCCCAATGACAGGTTTGAAGCAGAGCAACAGACGCGGAGAAGCGGAGGTCAAGCTCGTTGTGGAGAAGAACAGAGGACACGGGCTCGGCACATCGCAGCTTCCTAACGCACGGGTAGGCGGTTGGACTGACGACTACTGCGACGCTGACGGGGCAAGCGAGAACGCAGTAGTCGCGAATGCCACTCTGTTTCTACTAACGTTAGGTATGTATCTCGGTGATAAGACAAGTGTTCCCCGAGATATCGCCGCATTGAAGTTCGTGTTTCTGTGCTTGATCAGACGCAGGATTGCACAGCTGCACGTCATGTCGGGGGCCATTCGGCTCGGTAAGATCCTTTTCGGGGCTAACGTGAAATTCACCCGGGCCGATGTTCGGAGAGTACGGTCTGTCCCGTTCGTCTGTGCCCGGCCCTGGCGCCTGCTCCGACAACATTGATGCTAAACATTGGACAGGTATCACACGATTTTTGGCTCGTTCTATACATGCGTCTTTCCCTGCAATTGTGAGAATGTCTATGCTCTCGTAACTATCTGTCATTTACACCTGGTCATCCCAACCGCCCACGTCCTGTGCAATGCACCCCAAAGTCAAACCACCATGCAAATTCTGTTCATCCATGCGTGCTTTCATCCGTTCATGACGCTCTGCGCTTACAAATGCACTCCATCATCACTCCCGTCCGCTGCCCCAACTCCAAAACGCCTGACGAAAGCGAAGACACAGACTAAACCACCTAATAATATTCGGGCAGATCCGAAAAGCTCGGAATCTTGGATAAGTCGCAGTCGAAGTCCCTCTCATAGGCCTTGGCTGGTAGCACTCCCGCCTCCCGCCCCTTTTTGTAGCTCCACTGAGGTCTGCCCGTTCCCAGAATCAGTCAGCAAAACAGTCACTCTTTTAGACCAGCGTGTTGGTCGAGCAAAAAAAGGCAACAAAAAAGAACGAGGAGTTACTCACGCATCCTCAGTGTCCCAAACCCAATAGAACCAGCCCCACCCCTTTTCAAAGCTCGACATTTGCGCCTCGGCAAACATCCTCAGGAACGTCTTGTACGGCCCGCTCCACTGGCTGGCCGGCGCGTTGGCCTGGTCGCAGCTACACCGGTTGTCCATCGTGGGACACCGCGGCGTCGTCATATCGGTGGACGGGTCCCCCGTAAGCAGCGTGCCCGTCCACCGGTTGCCCCATCCGACGTTGGTCAGGTGCTTGGCGCAGTCCGTGTCGGCCTGCGACCACTCAGCCACAAGCGTGGGGCCGAACCCCGTCGCACGGTTCATGCTCTGAAGCGTCTGCTCGGTCCACCCCTCGCAGGCGTACCGCACCTTTTCCGAGTGGTTGTATGCGATCTGGTTGATGTTGAAGATGACGTACTGGTGCACGTCGAGCGCCGCCCGGTCCAGGTTGGTCAGCTCCCCTTGCCAGTTGTCCAGCCCGCGGAAGCCGTCGCCAAAGACAACGATGGCGTCGCTGACCCCGTTCTTGCGCACCAGGTTGTACGCCTGCTCCGTCCACCCGTTGACGTCCTGGACCGAGAGGTAGGTCATGCGGGGCTCGTTGGCAAGGCCGTAGTGGGTTATGATGTTTTTGTAGCGTGGCTGGGCGAAGAACTTGGAGAGGCGGTCGTGGATCTCGAGGGAGCGCTTGGCATTGGTCGCCCCGTCGGTGCCGTTGAACCAGCCGATAGTGCCGAGCCGGCCGCTGTGGTTCCATCCGTTCTGGCTGCCCGGCAGGCCGTGGACATCCAGGTTAACGCGTAGTCCGTAGCGGCGGCACCACTCAATGGCCCGCAGCAGGTAGCGCCACGAGGTGCGGAAAAGGTAGGGATCGCCGTCGTAGGTCTGGACCGCCCAGTACGAGAAGGGGATGCGTACGTGGTCCAGTCCGGCATCTGCAATCTCTCGGAATGTGTCCTCCGTCACAAAGGTTGCATAGTGCTTCTCGAGCGTGCTCTCGCATCGCGGACCAAGGTACTTGCAGAGCGTGTACTCATCCACGATGCCCATGCGAGAGTCGTACTCAAAGAGCGAGGGTGTGATGAAGGGCTCGATGGAGAGCCAACCGCCCACGTTTACGCCTCGCGCCGGCCGCTTCGCGTAGTCGCCCCACGGTTCGCTCAGCGCTGGAACATGTTCGTTGGCCTTTGCCGAGTCCTCCCAGCTTATGTTGAGCCCCATGACAGGCAGATCGCCAACCGTCTCGTCGGTATATGTCAGGTTGAAGTCGGTCGTGTCTTGCCAGACGAACGGATTCAACCACGACGGTGCGTCCGCTGGGATGCTCCCTGGTGCAATCCCGGAGAAGCCGCTTTTGCTGTCTTCCGCGGCGTCATTGTTACTTTGCCCGGTTTGAGGGACGACCACCGCGGCGACGATAATAATGATGATGAGCAGAACCACGCAGACCCCGATCAGGATCCCTGTCGCTGTCAGTAAAAACACAAATGTCAGTCTTCTCGAGCGAGACTTACACAGCTTCTTCTTCTGCTTGTACCACGGCAGCTTCTTGCCCGCATATAGTCCTCCCTTTTCCCGCATCAAACTGTCGTCACTGCTTCCTCCCGCGCCGCCCCTGAGACCTCTCCATCCCTTTCCACCGCCTCCTCTCCCTTCCTCCAACACCGCCCCGCTGACCACCCTCTTACTCTTCCTCTTTTCTCTCTCCCGATCACGATATATCCGGTACCCATCCTCAGCCTCATTCCATTCGGGCAACCCTCTTACTCTCTCATAGCCTCTGCTCCGGTCCCTCTCCCTTTCCCTATCGCGCTGTCGCCTGGCAGCTACTAGCAACTCTCTCTCCCTTTCCCTTTCCCTTTCCATTTCCCGTTCCCTTTTCCTAGTCCTGTCTCGTTCCCTATCCCTTCGCCTCTCATTCCTCGCTCCATCCCCGCCCCCTCCTTCACCACTCCTCGGCTTTGCGCTCGCATTAGCTTGGTTCAGCCTCGCCAACGCCGCCGTCGAAAGAACGTGCGACCCCCCGGCCGACCCGCTGCCGCCCTCCGAGGCCGACGCGGCACGCGCGTGATGGTCCCTGTCCCTTCCCGGAGGGGCACTGGTGCTTGGGCGACGCCGCCGCTTTGTGCGCCGTTCCAGGCGGTAGTCGTCTCCGTCCTCCTCTCTCCCCGCTTCTCCTCCTGCTCCTTGCGAAACAGAGTGGCGGCGGTGGCGGCGTTCGCGCTCGCGCTCGCGGTCCCGGGAATGGCGAGCCGCGGAGGGATCGCGCGGCATTGGATATTTCGTCTTCTTTTCCTCCTCTCTCTTATATGCACCTCACGGAACAACCTTTGCTGCGTGGTTTGTGGCGGCAAATTAGGAATGCATTGCTGAAGCGGGCTGGAATGTCAAATTCTGGTGCATTACACAGTGGATGTCAGGCGCAACGTCGAGTTCTGAATGTTCGAATGTCGGTGCAAACTTTACAGGCCACGAGTCTTCGTTCAATGGGTCAAGCTTGAAGCGGCGCATTCGTTGGATTCATGAATCCTGTGCGAAAGCTGAAGTAAAGATTGGGGGTTGTTGGCCGGGCAACACTTGCCACGAGGTTCTGATTGGTCTTGGCGTGTAAAACCTCGTACGTCATCGAGACAAGTCACTGCGGGTTGCAGAATCGGAACCATGGGACGTTCCTGAATTTCCATATATTCTTTCTTCGTGACCAGTCATCTGATATATTTTCCAGCTGTCATCCGGTATTCGGTATATGTTAGACTGATGAAGTCGAATCATCCGTGGTTTATGTGCCACGGCTGCCGGGCCGCTTGAGTGGCTTGCAGGGCTCGAGCGGGGAGAGACATCCCTCGGCGCAGTGCGGTGCCTGGCGGACAAGAGCCTGGTTCTACAAAGCCGCAGCAAGCCGACAACTTCCTATGTACCGTCATTTCCCCCCCAACTCCGTTGCGATGCCCGTTCCCAATTCTGGCTTTCTCTGGCAATGCAGTTACTATTCGCGAGATAGACGATGCAAAGCCTATCCTGATTTCAGGGAACGATGAACGGTGCATCAATTCGTCCGTTGTCGAGGGCACTCACCCGAACGTCTCTCCCTTGGCGTTCATCCGCCCCGGCCGTCATCTCCCGTTCGCGACAGTACTCGACCCATCCTGCGAACGCGAAGCTGAATCTCCCGACCGATTATTCAACAACTCCCCTGTTAGCTCACTCCCCAGAATCGGCACTGAGCAACCCTGAGTTGCCGCCCGAGGCCCGCAATGGCACGACGAAACGTATGAACCTCTTCCAGGCCATCAACGACGCTTTGTCTACCGCTTTGGCCGAGGATGAATCAGTCTTGATATTCGGCGAGGACGTCGCCTTTGGGGGTGTCTTTCGCTGCACAAGCAAGTTGGCCGAGACGTTCGGGGGCGACCGCGTCTTCAACACGCCTCTCACGGAACAGGGCATCATGGGCTTCGCGATTGGCGCCGCGGCCGAAGGCATGCGGCCCGTCGCCGAGATACAGTTTGCCGACTACGTCTATCCGGCCTTTGACCAGCTAGTCAACGAGGCGGCAAAGTTCCGCTACCGCGACGGGGCCTGCGGACGGAGCGCGGGCGGCCTGACCGTCCGGATGCCGTGTGGTGGTGTGGGCCACGGCGCTCTCTACCACTCCCAGTCGCCCGAGAGCTTGTTTACACACATACCCGGTCTGCGCGTCATCATGCCCAGGTCGCCACTTCAGGCCAAGGGGTTGCTGTTGTCGGCGATCCGCAGCAACGATCCCTGCATCTTCATGGAGCCCAAGATACTTTACCGGGCGGCGGTCGAACAGGTCCCGACCGCGCCGTATACGCTGCCGCTATCCAAGGCTGAGGTGTTGAAGCAGGGGTCAGATGTGACCATTGTTTCCTACGGTCAGCCGCTCTACAAGTGCAGGGCGGCGCTCGAGCAGGCTGAGCGCGATCTCGGCATCTCAGTAGAGCTGATCGACCTCCGAACAATCTACCCTTGGGACAAGGAATGCGTATTCCAAAGCGTCCGGAAGACGGGGCGATGCATCGTTGTGCACGAAGCCATGGTTAATGCTGGCGTTGGAGCCGAAGTGGCGGCCGCGATTCAGGAAGATCCCGAAACCTTCATCAGGTTGGAGGCTCCCGTCGCTCGGGTTGCTGGATGGAGCATACACACTCCGCTTTTGTATGAAGCGTTCAATGCTCCCGATGTTGCTAGTACGTCTCCCCGTCTGCTAAGGGGTATGGTCGTCGCATGCTGACTTCAACAGGAATATATGACCATATTAAGAAGGTGCTGAATTATTGAGCGAAGGCATGAGGAGGTATACCTAAAGAGAGCATCAGTAGCACAAGCGCGGCGTTGAGATAAGCTGGGGGTCAGCATGCGAGTTTACCAGTAGAAAAACGATGGAATGAGAGCCCTCATCTGGCATACTGGGTGCAAATCAAATGGAAGTTTCATCTAAAGCTCTTCTCTGTCCTGCCTCTACCTAGGTTGAGCTGAGTTGTGAAAGAGAGATGGGGATAATGCATGGAAACAGGCAGGTTTGCTGGGTGCCAGATAACTTCCCCCCTGTCTTGGCGCTCTATCGGTAGCATCCCACTCGTTGCCCCGCACTCTCGGTTTCAACAAACTTCCTCGATCAGTGACCGCCAACAACTGCATCAGGGCTCAGATTATTGCTTAGGGTAGTCTCCATTTCAAATCAGCAGAACCCTAGGTCCCGTTAGCATTCTCTGCGTCTCTTCAACTGGGGGCCATGTCGACCCCAAAAGCAATTGTCTCGTCCTTCGTGGAAAAGGCTCCACCAGGAGAGGTAGGCCGAAATGCCCAAGCAAGCTTCAAAAACGGGCATCATGCTAACCAGTTCGACTCCAGCTCGCTGATGTACTTGCAGGCATGTCTACGATCCTACCGTGCAACGCGTAGCATATCCTAACCGCTCCACCCCATAGACATCAAAACCCTAACGGCTTCACGTCCAAACCTGGTCAACGAGCTAGGCCCAGCGTTCAAGAAGTACAACGAGGAGCAATTCAGGACGGTCTTGCTCCCGGGGAGCAGCCAGCACGTCATTCTCAGCTCATACAACTCCCTGGGCGATGGCCGATACTACGATGTTGAGAGCTCCTCGAGCTTCGCGTTCGACCATACCACACAGAAACCCAGCGCGGTCCAGAGCCACGTACTGGAGAGCGCACAGGCAGACTTGATGTGGGTCGGCAACTATGTCCCAGGCCGTCGTGGGTGGGATGCTGATGCCGAGCGTTAGAAAATCGACGCTGAAGGGACTCTCGGCCTATGTCAAGGAGCACTTTGCGAACGGCGCCTATGGAGCCTACCCGATAGAGAACGACTCGAAGGTCGCCATCATCATTGTCGCAAACAAGTATAGCCCGAGTAACTTCTGGTATGGCTAGCATATGTCCCTGGTGCTCCCCTGGACTAACCGGTGCGGCAGGAATGGGCGCTGGCGCTCGCTCTACATTTTCGATCCCTCCTCGAACTCTCTCGACGGCTCGATCAAGGTTGACGTGCATTACTACGAGGATGGCAACGTTCGGCTCCTGACCAACAAGGCTGTATCCGCATCCTTGTCGTCTGTGACCGGAGCAGGCATCGCCAAGGATATTGCCACGGGTGAGAAGAAGTATCAGGAGGAGCTGAACAGAAGTTTTACAAGTTTGAGCGAAGGCGCCTTCAAGGCCCTAAGAAGACAGTTGCCCGTTACAAGGCAAAAGATTGAGTGGGATAAGGTTGCCGGCTATCGCCTTGGGCAAGACATTGGTGGGGGTGGTGCGGCGAGGAGATAGCCGGCAGTTATTGCCAGTTGTTCGCGCACTTGGTGGTTGGCCAGTCATTACCTCCGTACATCTACATCGTAGAGACATGAAGAAACTGGTCAATGAATGAAATATCTATAGCAAAACTAACTAGAGACAAAGGAGACGGCAATTCCGATTTCAATACCCATAACGCTACCTTACGTGTAAGGTATGGAAAGCCTAGCGATGTATGTACAAGTACCACTTTCCGGCAAGGTTCCGGATTCCGGTAACAGGTAGGTACGGATACGAAGTACGGAGTAAGAAAGAGGAAGTTCCCGATGCGCGCATCCACATCCGATGTGCAAACGAAACGGGGCGGGGAATCGGCGTAGCGCACAAGAGTCAAGTCCTTGGATCTTCGTATAAAGGCCATTGTCAGTGCCAGGCACAATTCGACATCCCGGAAAACGGTCGCCGTCAAATCGCCCACCACACAGAGGATCATCCCGGCAATATCGTCGAAGATGGCCCGCTGCGCCTCTGCTGACTGACATGCAATTGCCATCCATGTCGCTTGTTCGGGCCCCGACCAAGTCGACGCTCCGAAAAGTCGAGCCACATAGTTACTGCGGCGGACGAATCAGGAGGAAGATTGCCTGATTTTGACGGCTGCTGATTGGTTCATGCCGCATTTTTGGGGTTTCCATGCCAGGCCGGGGACGCCCATCGGGGTCCGCTAGCCAGAATTACCTTCCCTCCCAGGGGTCTGAAAAGCTGTTACTTCCGCCTATCTCGCCCGGGCACATCCATCGCCGTGCCGGAACCTTGACCTCCTTTTCCTTTTCACCTTCCCTCCTCACTCACTCAATTCTAACCCACCGTCGCCGCCCACACGCAGTCGATCATCCGTCGTGCCCGAGTCTCCGAATTCCGGTGTGTCCGCCTGGTCAATCGCCGGAGCAGGCGGCGACTGTCAAATCCGGTTGCGCGTATCGTGCTAACAAACAGTTGTTCAGAGAAGAAATCCCCGAGACTTCAATCCTCCCCGACAACACAGTCAAGATGGCCTCCAAGGAGCTCACCTACCAGGATGTTGCCGAGCACAACACCAAGAAGGATCTCTACGTTGTCATCCACGACAAGGTATACGACGTTAGCAAGTTTGTGGACGAGCACCCGTAAGTGGTCAATTGCTTGCAGACCGCCTGCCTGCCTGCTGCCCGCATATCATATCAACCGAAGAGCCTCCATTCGGCTTTTTTTCCCCCGCATCCCGCAACGCAACGCCGCCCCAAAACTTCGCGTATGCTGACGAAGATACCTAAACAGCGGTGGTGAGGAGGTTTTGCTCGACGTTGCCGGCCAGGATGCCACTGAGGCCTTCGAGGATGTCGGCCACAGCGATGAGGCCCGTGAGACGCTCGAGCAGCTCCTGATCGGGAACCTGAAGCGCAACGTAAGTCTCCTCTGCCGCGCCTTGGACTAGATGCACCTGGTGACAGAACTTCTGCATGCTAACTTTCCTTTCCGTCTGTAGCCCGGCGATCCCAAGCCCAAGGCCCCCATTCCCGGCGCGGTCGCTCCGCCAGCCAACACCTCCAACGCCACCGGGCTCGGTATCGGTCTGTATGCTATTGTCCTCCTCGGTGGGCTGGCCGCATTTGGTGCCTACCAGTACCTGCAGCAACAGCAGGCTGTCCAGAGCGCTTAAACTGGTGGCCCACAACCGGAGGAACGGAGTTATGGAAATGATAGCGAGTTAGTTGGGCAACATCTTCTCAGCAATGTTGTACGACGCGGCGGCTATCCGTGAGGATCGACCCATTGTGTTCCCCCCCCCAGCTATCATCTTGGCCCGGTGATCTCAGCTACTCTTGGATGGGTGTCTACTACAACCAGGCGACCATGCATTTGGGAGCAACAGCAGTGCCTGGCGGGGCTGGCGGCCGCTTCTTTCTTCAACAGGCGGAGTTGGGTTGAGGCTGGATGGTATCTATGTCTCTCAGTATTCTACTTATCGTGCTGGTTTATCAGGCGAGGCAAGCGTGCAGGCAAGCGAGCAGCTACCATTGCATTTGGTAGAATAGGGTTCCGAGGCGGCGCATGCTAGGAACTTGCAAATAGGTTAATAGACTTCATTGTAATCGCCGCCAAGTTGACAAGCTTCTTGCGCAGTGACCGACTTGTTCTTTGACCTCTAGCTCGGTTCGTTCTTTGTCGCTCAATAGTCAATACATCTAATCCAAGGAGACAAGCCCAACAAAAGCCGCCATTATTTCGCCATTGCACGAGCTTTTAAACTTCTACAAACACTATCAGATTATTATGCGCCAGTGTACTGAGGTTCCTTCCCCAAACATGATTCGCAGTAAATGACATTCTCACCCAATTCTTGAGTTCAACTCATTTTCCACAAACCACCCAATTGCGTAGAACCGCACCAACAGCCGATTTCGAATTGCTACGATATTTCCGTCCGGCACCCGCGCGCCAGCTGCTGGCAGGAGCTGTCGGTCAGCCCCATTCTTGGCATCCGCTCTCCCACTTTCATTCGTCGTCTTTCGCAGCAGGATGGCATCCTCGATTCCCTCCAGCAAACCTGGACCGTCGTCCGCAACACCGCCCGAAAAGCACCGCGGCGAAAAGCGAAAGAGACACGGCAACATGTCGAACGCATTCGAGCGCCAGCAGGCGTCGTTTGTGAGCGGCATGGCGTCGGCCGCGTCCAAACTTGGCGGGGGCGTCAAGCGCACTCTCGCTCCACCTTCGCCGTCGCCCTCGGTCGGCTCGACGACCTCGGCCGCCGCCGCCGGCAGCAGCACGCCCCGCAAAGACCGCGACACGCCGTCCAACATTGTCTTTTCGCAGCCGGCCCTGACGGGCACCGGCGACAGCATCGTCTCGCAGATGGCCTACGCCGTCTCGTGGCTGCGCGGCAAGGACGAGCCACAGGGCTACCAGGATGTGCTGGGCTATTTGTCACTGACAGCCCGTCCGGAACAGGACCAGGAGTTCTTTGTCGAGCAGATGCGTCGCCATCCGCAGATCCAGTGGATACCCGACCCGGAACTGAGCGAGCAGACATGGCGGTCGGGGACCTACCTGCACCGGCCGACGATCCCCAACGTCAAGAACAAGACGCAGCTGCTGGCATACCTGCAGAAGAAGACTGACGCGAGCGCGGTCAGCGTCAAGGACTTGAAGGATGGCTGGCCGGATTGCGAAACGGCGATTAACGAGCTGGAGGCCGAGCACAAGATACTTGTGGTGCGGGCAAAGAAGGATGGCTCCGCGAGGAACATCTGGCTCGATGATGCTAGCCTGTTTCACGCGGTCGACCCGCAGTTCAGGCTCATGTGGGCCAGGGTCGAGGTGCCGAGCGTTGAGAATATCGTGCACCGGCTCCTGACGGCGCAGCAGAAGCCCGCTTCCGAGGACCCCCGCCTCAAGGCAATGCAGGCGCCCAAGGTGGACAAGAAGAAGAAGCGGACGCAGCGCCGCACCGGAAAGTCGACAAATGACCACATGCAAGATCTTCTCAAGGATTATAGTCACATGAAGAAGTGAGCGGCGGTCACAGGGGCAATCCAAGGCCAGGAGGGCAAATGCCCAAGAGGCGCGCGTGTACTCTTTTTCCTTCTATTCAACGACACATCTGGCATTGGGATGGCGCTGGGGGCAACGGACGGGAGGTTCGGCTGTGGATTCGTTCACACTAGCGGCTGAAAAGCATACCGCTGGCATTCTGCTTTGGGTCTGGCTTATAGAGCGGGTGATATTCAAGGGCAAACCCGAGATTGACGACTTGGCGTTGGGTGTCTACTGATACGTTACGTTCAGGCAAGTCCTGAAGGCCTTCAAAGGCTCTGAACTGGACGTTCTCGGATTCATCGGGTTGGGTGGTTGGCTTGGCTGGTAGAACTATTGATATTTGATCGGAAGAATACCAGTTTGACTTACCAGTTTGACTACGGTCAATCCCGCCCTTGAAGTTATGCACGATTTACTGCCTGCTTCAGCCTTCGACCGTCCCTTTCTCGAGAAAGTCCGGCTTCTCCATTCCCATTTCCTCGCACCATCTCTCCGCATCCCCCTTTCGCAATCTTATGGGCTTCACCACCTAAACCCACCCTCTTCTGTCCGGTGAGCGACAATCTCCTGCAAAAGGGGATCGCGACACATGTAGTTACGGCCGGCTTTTGCTGCAATGAAGCATAGCAGGAGAGAACAACCTGATACTAGTTCACCACCGTAGACCCGTTCAGCAGACGGTGTGTTAATTTACTAAGGCAGTAGTCAAAGTCCATAATACCCGTTGGCCCGAGCTTCTTCCATTAAGGGGCCACTATCAAGACAGTTGGCTACAAAATCCAGGGACGGGACAAAATCCAGGGACAGATAGTGCAATGTATAGAACACTAACTTACCTGCATAACGAGTTGCGCAGCATAACGAGTTGCGCACTTTTCTCCCATTTACAACCACCCAACTCAATCACTGTATTACTCCCACAACACACAATGGAACCTCTTCCAAAAGAGAGTCGTATTTTCCTTGCACTC